CATTGCAGAAATTCCTTATTTTCTCTGTTTGCAAGTTCAGTTATTGCCCATCCTTAGATGGGAGCAGGAGATGGACTTGGCACCACGCATCTTCCCAGAAGGTGCTCACGACCTCAAAGTTTAAGAATGCTTTCTCTGGCCCTTCCTCCAGGGGGATGGAACACCTGTTGGCTTTCCTGTGATTATTCTTGGTCAGCAGAGGGGGGCACGCTGCCTCCACAGCCGTGCTTCTGAAGTGTGGGGGCACCTCTCTATGGAACCTGAGCGGTACAGACCGTCTGCTGGACTGAAAAAGCATCTGGCGTCCCATGGAATGATGTTTCATTAGAATTGGTTTGCCCCCGAATGCTAATTTCTAGACCTGTTTTCAACATGTTGCAGCTCCTTCAAAGGCACATGTAGACAATGGCAGCACCTTTGTCAGGGACTTCCATTCATCCTGTTATTCATTCTGCGCAGGAGGATCATACCCCATTTTCCAAGCAGTATCTCAAACCAAGATACGCAGTCAAATATGTTTAGTAAATAAGACGGATGATACACCTTATCTTTTCCTTAGGTTCTAGAGCTTCAGTGTCATTTGTAGCTGCCACGTGTTGAGTAGGTAAGATTGCCAAAATAGACCATCAGTTTGCTGAGAGGTGGTGAACCTCCTCTTTCCCTTACGGGAGTTTATATCAGAAGAGACAGAAGTGGTCTCATTTGTGGTCAGTTGTTATAAACTGGAAATCTGCCCAAAAGCTCTAGCAGGCTTGAAGGCCTTTGGACTGAGATTGCATGTACAGCATGCCAAAATGTGTTTGGTTTTTCTTCTTTTTAATTAAAATCCTGGGCCATCAAGATAGTGGTTTCTCTGCAGAAGAGCCACACAGAAAGTGCCGTTGGCCCTGCAGTGGTGTGGCAGCTTAGCATTAACATTTCACTCATTGCTAGTAGCGTGTGCTGAGGACATGTCCTTTCTAGTATATCTTGCTGGTGTGTGCGGATCCCTGCAGACCCTTGCTTCCTCCCCCTCCTCTCCCACTGTCTGTGCAAATGAGGGTGGAAGCAGTGTGCCACATCACAGAGTGGGAGAGCTTTGCACACCTCCAGTATGACTAATGCACACTTTGCACCAAGCCCACTCCCTCCATGATATTCAAGATACTCGGGATTCAGAGGCAAGAAGCTTTCACTGTGCAGAGGAAGGCCGCAGTGGTGCATGTTCCTATGTGCCATTTCCACATATGCCTCTCCACACATCATGATGGAGGAGAATGGTTGGACTCTGCTATGCCATATGGGAATTCCAGCACTGTGCTTCTGCGTAGGGAAAAGTGGTGCCCGAGTGATTATTTCCTAAGGATTCTTGCAACTAGTCATACAAATCTTTCTGTGGGTCATTTTCCCCCATACTTCAGTTTATGTAGAGACTATTCGGGGCATCGGTGTGGACCAAACTCAATTCTCATGGTATCATCACCAATAGTAACAGACACTTGTGCCACTTTCAGAATTAAAAGAGGGAAATTAGCAGCTGGACCTTGGGAATGGCATGAAATATCTAGCAAGCGGTACCGTTGTTAATTCAGGTGCTACAGAATGTGAGAGCCCCCTTTCTATGTTCCTTAGAGCTCAGCAGTTTGATGGCACAGTGTGAGAGTTGCCCACTCAGCCTCTAATAGTTTGGCTTGTCCTATTTTGGTTATTCTGCTGCCGCAGATTTGATTTCATTAGTCATTGTGGAAAGCAGCAGTCCCACTGATTGCCAGAAAGTGCAGCTCTCTGACCTGTGGATTAGAAGGGAAAACCATGCTATGGATCTTAGTAGTTCAGTCTCCCTGCCCGATGGTGCCCACCACTCTCCATGCTGACTGGTAGCAGGTTAAACCAAAGAACCAGTATGAGGCATTTGGCGATCTGTTGAGATTTAGGTGTTCCCAGGAGAGGCAGCCTCCTTCCGATCAAAATAAAAAGCAATGCACGGTGATGGTGAGGGGGAGAGGCTGTCTCCATGGAGATGGTGTGTATAGCTGTGCCCAAACCACTTGTTCTTAAAGAGATGAATGCGTTTGCATGGGGCTGCAGCAGCTTAACAGAGGGACCCTTCTCGGTGGAGACCTGTGCTTGAGCCAGTCCTTTTGGATCATAGCCAAGCATGGGCTTCTTGAGTTTAGTGTACTGATGTCTTCTGGAACATCAGTCCCATGTTGTAAAGTGCTGATGGAGAACCTGTTTCAGCCTAAGTGCTGCAACCATGTTCTGAGAGGTGCTCAGCGGCCACGTTCAGTGGTAGCAGGGCCAAAGGTAGCATAGATGGACCCAAGAAGACACAAACATGAACAGGCCGCTCTTACCATCAGCAGCTGAAGAGTTTCAACTTTTCAGAGAAACCACCCAACATGTGCCCTGGTGAAAAGGGAAATGGACATCTGGGAAACCCCAGGTGGGCTGGATTTGTGGGGGAGGGCAGCAGGCTGTCTCCTTTGCAAGAACCTGATAAAACTCTTGGGTCCTTTTATCATTGTTGAAAGTTTTGGGCATGCTCAAAAATTTTGTAGCAAGACAGATCAATAGACACATAGGAAATCCAGATCCCCAGCCCAGAGTTTAGAATTATATCTGCCAGAGAGCTGTGATCCTCTGCCTTTTTCTCTCAGGGAAAGTACAATGCCTCTTTTCATGCAGGATCATGACATTTAGTTCTGAATTAATCAGAGGAATAGACATAAGCTTCCTCCTTTGTCTTCTTGATTACCAGCATACAGTAGAACTCCAACAGCTGGGAAGAGAGAGGCAAGGCGGGTCTATTTACCATTTTCCTTCTCCAGTGTCTGGTGCATATTTATTACACTGATGTTACACACTGCCTTTCTGATAGACTTGCATTCCTAGGGGCTCTTCCACGCACTGACCAGAACCAGATCTTACTTAGTTTTTGCACAGTGGATACATCATGTGCCCACAACCCATGGCCTGGAACCCAGGTAGCAGTGAACATGTGTCCAGCGACTGTAAGCAAGAGACAGGGTAGGCCTGGAGGGCGCTGTAGCCCAGCAAGCGCTACAGAATGGACCACTTGGTTACTTGAAGACTGTCCTCGTACAGCGTTCCCATGGGAGCTTGTCAATGGGAGACTGTCCAGCGTACACTCTGTGTTAGCATACAACTGCAGGACACGGGGAGCTGCAGTGAGCTTCCTTAGAGAGCTTGCTCCATCAGCTTCTGTTGCTATGGTGATGATATAGATCTATAAAAGGGACAGTTACAGCAAGGCAGTGCAGTCTAGTGAGCTAAGCACAAGGCAAAGAAGGTGCTAAACACCCTACCGTTTTAAATCCCTACTCTTCTTAATGTTTGCGCTGACCTTGAGGGGAAGGCACTTGCCCCTTTGGGCAACTGTCTAGAATATGGGGATAAGAATAGCACCTCGTGGGGGCGTTGGGAGGATTAACCAGCATTTGTGAAAATCCTATCCATGCTTGGCTGCCCATGAAATGCTTCAAAGGGAGAAAGTGTTAAGCTGGGAGTGTGTGTGCATGCACGCGCACATGTCATCCCTCCCCTCCTCCACCCATGATAGTTTTTTAAGGTAGCTCGTTGCACACTTATGAAGGACAGCAGGAAACACCATTCTTCCCCCAACTGTGTGCTAGAAAGGTCAGAGTTCGTGACTCACTTCTGCTGCCTCCTCTGCATAACTCCAGACGGCTGTGTAGGAAGAGGGGTTTTGTCACTACTTAATCACGATGAAGTAAACTGATCCCCTTCAGATGTGGAGATGTAATCACAACAGCTGGGATCCTGCAGGGACCTTCCTCCTCAGCCTGGGGGTTGGGTGAGGAGTGACAGAAGCCCACAAGCTTTCTGTGGCAGCTTCTCTTGGGCTGCTGTGTTGGGAGCCGGGTTTCCTTAGGCCCCAAATGTTTCCACATTGTCTCCCAGTTTTCTCCCAGCTCTTTTGAGAAACTTGAAAAACATGCCTGCCTATCTTGTTATCCTAGTTTCCCAGGCCTAGATCTGGTGAGGGAGAGGAGCGGAGTGGTACCACGCTTTTTCAGTCTCCCTCCCAGCCTTGAGCTACGAGTCGCTGTGACCGTATCAAAGCTAAAGGTTTGGTGGCCCCAGCTGCACTCATACTAACTTTTCATGCCTCAAGCAGTATTCATTGAACAGGGGGTGCATTTACATCCGCCACGATTTAAGCCATTTGCTACTCGCTGGCGATACAGATCTCATTTAAAAGTTTAGCTAAATGAGCATCATCCGTGCTGGTCCAGCCTAAAGCCATTTTTTACCGTTCCCAATTACCAATGCCTGATTTTCGCCCTGTTGCAGCCACAACAGTAACTCAACGTAGCAAAGGCCATTTCAAGGTGGTCTTGCCTGTACTCGCTAGTGTTCATCCCCCGGCCAGTTGTCCTTCCTGGTTGAGGGAATGGTGGCCTCAAACTTCTGCCAGCCCCCGAATAGTGTTGTCGGTTATGAGAGATGAAGCCAGAACATCCGGACAAGATGCTAACCCCATACATGAATCCAATCCTGATCAAGTCAAAGGAAAGCGCAATTCCAATGCATGTTTTAATGGCATCAGTGTTGCCTTGAAAGTTAAGAGGTGTATATGGCAGAATGTGAAGATTTTGTTGGGAAAAAGAGCAGTATCATTTGTGGCCACGCATACACATGCTCACCCACACGTGCTGCACTGGCTGTTGTTGAGTGAAAGGTAAAGACACATTGGATCATTAATCCTTCAGTCAATGAAGATTTCTTGAAGTGGTGACAGCTCTAGCAGCAGGCAACAGAAAAATCAAGCAGAGCTGTTGGCTGGCTCTAAAACGGTCTCAGTCCTCTTTAGAAATGTTTTCTGTTGCAAAGGATTAAAATGCCTTGTCTGTATTCTCTTGGCAGTGTAGAAGATGGCTTGGTGGTTGCAGATCACCGGAGGATCCCGCCTGCTGTTTAGATGTTTGCTTTTGAGGGAATATGAGTTTAACCCGCCTCCTGTTCTTTTGCACTAGGTTGTGTACTACACGGAAATGTACAAAATCTTTGGAGATTTAACACAACAGATTGACGAGCCTGGCCTGACAGATGAGCAGAGGGAGAAGGAAAACGAAGCCAAGCTGAATGAACTGAGGGCACTTTCTATTGTAGCTGATGACTGACCTCCAGCCCCAAAGCGGCAGCAGCGGCAGCTTATCCTGATGCCGCGGGCCAAGAGTGGAAATCTCCTTTTGCTCTCTCTTCTCCAGAGACCTCCAAAAGGGGTCTTTTAGTCCTGTGCAAGCCTGCTGTTTTGATCTTGGTGAGTGTCTCTGCAGCGGCTCCCCAAAGGCTGAATCCCACAATCAGCGCGACAAGAGCCTCATCACTGCAGCTGGCAGAGGGGGGTTTGTGGGCTGGGGGAGCAGCTCCTTACCCTGAGCATTGATTGATGTGGCTTTCTGGTGTACCGCACTGACCAGTCAGTCTGTCTGCAGCGGGGCTGCACTTACTCCTCCCAAAATCTGCAACTTACAGCTTTGGTGTTTGTCATGGTAGCTGGCCAGATTTAACATAGGGCTGCCCCACTGTGCCTTTAGGGGAGACCTTGTCCTCCCACTGAGACCCTGTTTGACAGGAGGCACTATCAAATGTTTCTGTATATTCAGGGAATAGAAGGCTATCAGAAAGCACAGCCTAAAAAAAATACTGAGCACAATAGTTGGATTCACTGGGGAGTCACTGAATTATTATGAGCCTGGAGGAAGGCTGCCAGGGCACAGGGAAGGGAACATTTGGCTGTGGGGTCTTGACGTAGGCTCCTGCATTCAGTGAAACTCTTCACAGGCCTGTGTAAAGTTACAGAAATAACCACTTGCACGACAGTTGCAGGTGTCTAACTCGTTTTCCTGTGAGACTGTTTGCATAGCTTGCGCTGGGGACAGAGGATTAAGCTAATAATAAGGATGCATGAACCCTATTTTTGTAGGGGAAGCTGTTGGGAAGGCAGATTCCCCTTTACTTTCTTCTACCTTCACCCGCTATAGATGTTTTTCCTGCTGTAGTCCTTCATCCTGTTCATTTATGGTTAATCAAAACATAAAGCAAGGAGGTAGATGACTCTTGCCATTTCAAGTGCTCCTGTAACCTGTGATTCTAATTTTATTTTTACAAAAAAGAAAAAACCCCAAAACAAAACCCTGTCTTCCTGCTTTGTAGAACCAACACTCACAGCTGCCCTCTATGCCTGAAGAGGCCACCTTAAGCAGTACACACCTGTTGGAAGAGAACAGGATTAATTTTGCTCCTGTATAACACTAGCCTGCCACCTGCAAGGATCCTGCTGGAGCAGTCCTTTAGACTGTAGCTGTGCTCCCTCACCCCGCCCCACCAACTTCCAGCCTAACGTTTAGTCTGAGGAACTTAGTACTGATGGACAAGGATCGTTTGTTGGAAATACAGTCCCCAAAGCAGAAATTCTTTCCTGCTTTTTCTACCTCTCAACAATTTTGTAAGGCCAGCCGCATCATCGCTCTGTAGATACCTCTAACCTTTCCCATCAAAGGTAAGTAAAAGACCCAAAGGCAGCTACATTGACAACAAAACGCTATCATTGCCTACTTTTTGGTCTTGTTCCCTGTTGGGTGAGAGGAGGTGTGGCCACTGCAACCTTTGGTGTTGGATGCAAGTACCACAAACTTAGTCTGTACAGTAGGAAACGGAATGGCCACTTTGGAACGTATAAGCTGTGTCTTGTCATCACGACTACCTCTGTTTCTCCCTGTTCTCCCCCAGCCCTGGCATCAGACATCATCTGAAGCACCATTTTGAAGATGGGGAGGGGGCAGACGCACAGGTGTGTTTCAAGTTTGAAAAGAGAGTTAGTACCCAACTGAAGGCAAAAAGAAAGGAGGCACAGACTTCCAAGTGAGGAAGAGACTTTTATAAAAGGGAACCTGGCCAGTTAAATAGAAGTTGTTACCACATTTACAGACTAAAAGCAACACACATCCAGAAGTGACAGGCCACCTGAGGGCTGGGGAGTGGGTGGCCAAAGCAGATGCAAACCTTACCGACTGCAAGAGGGACCAAGTGCCGGCCCACCAGCTACTTTGCGAAGGACCACCACAGGAACCCAGTGGGCCACCTACCCAGCACAGCCCTCCTGCCACTTCCCCAGAAGGGAGCCGAGTGCATTGCAGCCACCCTACTGCCCAGGCCCAAGCCCCTAAAAGCCCCAGTGCCCTGGCCAAGAAGTTCACTCACATTGAAAGGCTAGCACAAACACAGCACGTTGCTGAGCCTCTGAAGCTACATCTGGCAAATGAGTGTGACTCAAGACTGGCCAAGGGGGAACTGAATGGCACTGTTTTCCTTAAAATGGCTAAAACGCTGTACTAAATGCGCAAGGGTTTGAACTCAAACCACAGCGCCTGCAACAGCCACGAACTAGCCTGCGGCACTGAATGCACGGTCCATGGAGGGCACAGGTGGGAGACACGGCATTGGTTCCAGTGCTTGTTTGAAGTCCTGCCAGTTCTGATGACTCTTTGATGCATTCCCAAAGCACCTTGTAGTCGAAAGGCAGGCAGCACAGCACTGCCTGGAGCAAAAGCTGGAGCAGGGGGGGCAGCTTGAAGGAAATGTCTCCATGCAGCACAAAGAGGCAAGCCTCACCCCGCTTTTGGGGGCAGTTGGCACCTCCTGACGCCCTGACCATTTACAACTGCATCCGGTTCAGCACGGGGCTAACATTTCCCATCCGATGCTTGCTGCTGGCAGACAGCCTGAGAATACCTACACCGTCGCTTCTCCACTCACACAACAGACCATCAAAACTCCTACCTAATGGGTATCCTTTAAACATTAATGGTGACTCCAGCATAAGAGCTGTGAATCCCAGCCCTTGGCAGGCTGGGTGGTGCCTTCCCCAAGCCTGGGGTGGTTTAGGATGAAAACCAGCTCCAGCCTTTCACATGGCCGTGAAAGGGTTTCAGGTTTCAAAGGCTTACCCCAGCTGCCGACCCACAACCCCAAATATCAAACCAGGGTACAGATCTTCCCTGCTGAGCGGCTTTCTCCAGGGAATGTCAGTTGCTGGAAATGGGCGTTGGGTCCTTCTTTTCTAAGCAATTATTGGTCTGGAAGAGACAAAGTTGAAGAAACGGCAGTAAGAGGAATGCCTGCGCATTTGTGGTGTTCCTGCCTCCTCCCCAGCTTTTCCCTTCTTCTCTTAGCCCTTAAAGGTTCCAGTACAAAAGTAAAATGGAATACCACCTCCAGAGAGAAACATGTCTTTTTAACTCTGGCTGCTGCAGGTAGACCTGAGCAAGTACTGTGTGACCGTGAGCAAATATTCAGGTTCAGAAACTTCAGCTATTCTACCAGAGGGTGACAGGCCATAATAGTTCCAAATGGTATTTTCACACTTGCCTCAGAGACTTTCCTTTGCAATGGATACACACATTCAGGGAAGTTGTGTGATGTCACATCCCTGAACTATTTCACAAAATTTTTAAAAACCCTGAAGTTGGAAAAACCTTGTTTGAATGTTGCAACCATTCACAGCCCGAGAAAGCAAGCAGAGAAATGAAGCATGTGATCCAGTCCTTTCAGCACACTAACAAAATGATGATGATTGCTCTTTTGCCATCAACATGAAAAAATACAAATATTTGATTACTCACCTGCAGTCAGAAACAGCCGGTCTCAGGAATTGCATGCCTATGCTAGGTTTAAAGTAGCCCCAGAAGAAAGTGCTGAGCAGAGGGGCAGGCGAAAACAAGCATGTGTTCTCTGACAAGTGCTTGATGTACTGCATGTTGGTGGGTATTAGAACTTTAATTCACCAAGTAGGGCTGGCAAATTCGCCAGCAAACCCTCACATTACTAGTTAGGGCAAAGCCATAACAAAATCTTAATGTTTCACCCTTAAAATAAACAGCAGAGATTGAGCATCTGATGACTAATTCAAAATAGACATAATCTAATGTTTTAGAATGGGCCATGATGATAAGATGCAATTAAGCAGTAGAGACACAAGATGACTTGAAGAGCAGAGACCCATGTTCTTTCTCCTCCTCCTCCTGGAATAAATCTGCAGGCCCAACCCAGCCAGCCTCTATCTGCGTTGTTTTGATCATGTGAACTGGAACTTGCCTCCACATAAGTATCAGGCAGCATAGGCTTGATTAGCTGTACTCAAGACAAAAACCACTGAAACAAAAGATAATAGATTGGATCCAGACTTAGTCACACTCAGAGTAGACCAATGGAACACAATGAAACAAGTGGACTAGGGGGTCTACTCCAAGTGTGCACAAAATCTAAATCCGTCCCGCTTAATTCTCAATCTGCCAGCAAGTTCTCCCACCTTTGACCATGAAGGTGGTCCCCACCCATGTCCAGGAACAGCAGTGCAGAGAAGTTGTACAACGCGACCATGCTAGTGCAGTCCACACCGTTGCTGATACTTCTAGCTGCACCAAGCCATCACTTAAGCAAAAGCACAGACAGACAGACTGTAAAACCACCATGATGAGAGAAAGAACCTGAACCAGTTTAAAATTCCCATCCAGGCCTATCTGGACAGCTACCTTCTCAATTATCTTTTGGATTTCCAGCTGCAGTGGAAGGAGACGCTTCTTATTTTCTTGCAGCAGCCTCTGAAAATGGGATTTTTGCCTCTCAGTCATCTTAGACTGCTCCTCCAACTCTGTAAGGCGCTTCTGCAGTTCTTGCACCTCCAACGTCAGGGCTTTGTTGGATGCCTCTGTTGTGGAGAAGCGAATCTGGGTCTCTTCTATGAACATAACAGAACAAAATTAGCTTCTAGGAAGTAAAAGCACAAGTTGAAATCAGAACAGTGCGTCTTCCAGCCGAAGGGAGAGCAGCAGCCCTTAGCCCGAACCCATGTAGCAAGCTCAGGATACAAAATACCTCAAAAAACCTGAACTGCAAGAGCAAACATTCCCAAAAGTCAGGGTGGCAACAGCACTCTACTGCTTAGGCTGGGGCCCTCTGATCTTGGCACCGCTGCCATCAGATGCACTTGTGGAATTGCTAAAGAGCAAGAACAAGGACATCTCATGCGCCCAAGGCCCAACCTGTCACCAGGAAAATCCAGGGGATTCACTGATTACCTCCAGCAAAGATTCCCAGACATTCAGGCTGAGGAATGTCTCCAAGAGCAACCAGGAAGTATTTGCCTGTAATATAAGTCATTGCAGTCTGCAGCTCCTCTTAAGAGCTTTGCCACCAAACTCTTTGTAATGTTTAATACCAGTGCAACACCCACACCTCATTCCTATGTCAGGTTTCATTTGCCTAATACATTCTAGCAAAAGGTACTGGGCGCTCTGCCTGCACTTGGTCCCACTCCCCAGGCTGCTAAGAGGGAGATGCAACGCAAACCATTCCACACTTTAATCCTGCCTTGCAGCAGCTTCCTGGGAGTTCTTTATGGGGCCCTCCCTCTGTGTAACGGAAGCCAGGCCTCGCTACACGTCGCTCACCTAGTTTGAGCTCCAGCGTGTGGATTTTGTTCTCCAGATAGAGTCGGCCGTTTTCCGTCTGCTCTGCCTTTTCCAGCAGTTTGCCCACGTTGAGGATAGCCCCATTGTATGAAACCAAATTACCAGACTGAGTTTCTCTGGGAGACTTGGGAGGAGCCTCGGGCACAGGGGTGGCTGGGCACAGGAGAGCGAGGTTGCCTGCAAGAGGAGGGCAAGTTTATTCTGCTTGGCTTTGGGATGGAGCAACTAAAACAGGCTCACCATGGGAAAATGGGCGACGGCTCCCACTGCGGGATGGAAGCCCCATCCTCCTTCCTGGCACACACACAGGTCCACAGTCCCCAAGCTGAGCCGCCTCCTCAGTGGAGGCTGGAAGAGATACGACGGCAGTAACTGCTTCCCACACAACTGTGCTCTTCTGAGTGGCTGTATGGACAGCATACACAATGTCCGGGGGAAGCCAGCAGAATGGGGGGCATGTGGCGGGGGGAGAGGTGGGTCCCAGCAGCACTGAGTGATCAGGAAAGATGACCTGCAATTAATGATTATGGGGGCAGGTGAGCTGAATCAGAGACTGAAAGCCAGGTGAAGTCTATGCTCACTGAAACACCAGGCAAAGGAGCATCCCCTTCCCACCCCACAAATGGCGCCTACCTAGTGGCTCCTCCTCAAGGCCCAGCTCAGTTCCTTCCTGCCGGCTGTAGCGTAGGCTGCGGTAGCGGCACACGAACTGCGTCACCACCCTGTTCACCAGGCGCTTCACCTGCCACCGGATGAGATACCCCCTCTCCATGAACGGCACTGGAAAGGGCTGCACGCAGGTCCTGGGTGTGCAGCACCAACCAAGAGGCCCCAAGTCATCCAAACCTTCAACCTTTGGCACAAATGGGGCCGGCTGCTCACCTGCTCTTTGCAGAGATGCAGTCCCAAGGTGAGAAGGATTTTTTCCATATCCTTCCTATGCAGATAGCCGCAGAAATTCAAGTCAAAGTAAACAAAGGCAAGAAGGGCATCCAGTGGCAACACAGCACTTGGGTCCAGCTCTCTGGGCTGGGTGGGGATGCAAAAAGAAGCAAAAGAGGCGGGCTGGTCAAACTGAAATGCCACTTCACTTCCACTCCACAGATCATCCCATACTGTAGCCCAGACCTCAATCATGCCCAGCTCTGTGCAAAATTATAAATTTCAGAGTAACCAGAATGCTGCCTCGCAAATGGACATCACATTCAGACTGTACCACTAAAGCAGGATCAGGGCCACAAAAGCACGGCGCCTATTCACATTAAGGCAGCATGCGTCACTCTTTCACAATTTCTCACAGTGGCTAGTTTGGCTCTGCATGATTGCAGAGGCTCTGGCCTGAGGTGTCTAAAACAAGGTCTGAAGAGGAATTTGTTACTGACCACATCATGAAGCGAGGCAAACTCCATCTCTGACTGGTTGGACGCTACCGATCTCACTTCTGCATCTTCCAACTTGACACCTGCAGACAAGGCAGCATGACCTGCTTCAGAGGCTGAGCTCTGCTGAACACTTGCCAAGGGGGAGACTTGAGTTCATGGTGACACCTTTGCAAACAGCTGAGGTGGCTTTCGCTTGTCTGCAAACAGATGGCCGGCTGGGGCTCAGACACCCTGCCCTTCCCTCCTATGGCCAGGGAGGGCCCTTTGGCTTCCCTGCTGTTCAGCACATCCACATGGGTCAGGGAAGGCTGTCCCAACACAAGGTTCCCCCAAGACTGCTGCGTTCCCCAGCAGGGTACCTACCGAAATCCTCCTCCTCCTCCTCCCTTAGCAGTAGCAGGTCATCCTCTAGGCTCAGCTCACAGAGGTCGTCTGTAGAATCCTTTGGTTCTGTTTTGATATTCCCACTGACCTTCTCCTCCTTGGCTGAATTGGCCCCATCGTGGCCTCCAGGCTTCTTCTCAACATCTCCTGCCTCCTCCTTCTACAGAAGCAACACACACACAAACCAGGACAATGCATATGCCATGCAAACAAAGGCACGCCAACACAAACCTATACAAAGTATGACAGGTTACTTCATCTGCACAGCGCCCCATTTCTGCTTAACCTGTTCTGGCCTTCCTACTCTTAGGGGCTGTGTGGGACACCAATGTGCTGCAGGCATCCTGGGGGTCACGGGATGCTGTCAGCCCCATCTGGGGAAGGTGTAGCTGATCTGCACTGCCTCTTGGCCCTACTAGTGGCCAGAAGCCTCACCTGAATCTCCTTCACATTATTGTCCAGCGTGTCCTCCACTCCAGGCTTCTCCAGAGGCTCCTCTTTTGGCTCGCTCTCCCCCTCCTTTTCCAATTCAGCTGCCTTTTCCAGCTCGGGGATCTTTGCTTCCAGGGGCTCCTCCTTCTCTGGCAGGGCCAGTAACGCTTTGTACAGCTTGTAGCCAAAGTCCCGCTGGAGCATCTCCTGGAAGAACTCTGCCACCACGGCCACCTCAGGGGTGGAGAGAGGGTCAGAGGGAGAGCAGTGAGCAAGCAGCTGGAGGCCTACTTCAGCCCTGCCCAGGATGCTACGGAAAGGAAGGGGTCCGAGTGCCTGCGTCCCACTCTGAAAGCCCGGTGTCCAAGAGCCGAGCGCCACGCAATGGTGGCCTGGTGCCCGCAAAACCACCTCCACTGGCGCCTCAACCTGCTCCCACTGCAAGGAACGCCCCACTCGTCCCTCTGCTCCAGGAACACACTTGCTTATGGCCTGGCTGTCGGTGTTCCATGTCAAGCCCCTCCAGGGCTTCTGCTGGCTGTGTGTCGATCAGTGTAGCGCAGGCCTAGCTGAGAAAAGCGCTGCGACCATGCTGGGTCCAGGCATTATCCACAGGAGACAGAGACGCGGCGGCAGCCAGGAGGACGCGGCTGACTCACGCCATCGCCATGGTACTTGCATTGCAAAAAGTGCCATCCACAAACAAGCTGTTAGTGCGAGAATTCTGGCTGGCTTGAAAGACCAAGGCTGAGCACAGCCTGCCACCAACCCACCCAGTTAATGGCTTCTTCTGTGGTAGCTCTTCCTCCCAAACTCCCCTAACGCAAATATGTAGCTGGGAGGATTCTTAATGACACACACCGTCACCAAGGGCACCCTCGTAACTTCCGACAGTTTTCCTGAACGTCAAGAGGCTTTGAAACTGCAACCTATTGGACCATGAGCAACAGGGAGCTCCCCCAAGATGTGCACTCCCAGAATGCAAACAGGCAGACACGTAGCTGCTTGGATTGCTGCAACACTAAGCGCGAGCGGCACCCAGAAGAACGGCTCATACAGGTCCCCCAATCCTACCTCAAAGGAGAGCTTTTCCCGCTGCCGCCGGTACTCCAGTAGGGTGAAAAGCGAGATATTAGTGCAGCTGGGCTGTGAGTGAGCAATGAGGGCAGGTTCCAAGGGAGCCGTGGGAGCCTCTAGTTCAGGACCGGGGGTCTCCAGGGTTGATTCAGAGGCAGGTTCGTTCAAGTCGGCTTCCTGTTCACTGGCCTCTGCCTCTTGCTCAGGGCCAGCTTCGGAGGCCTGCTCTGTTCCCTCTTCCTGTTCAATAACAGGATCATTTTAGCAAGCCTCAGAGGAAGCCACTGGTGTGGACTGAAGCATGGAAGCAGGGCTAGTCTCTACTTTCCCCCTGAAGCCAATGCCGAAGACCTGAGAGCTGACTAGCCCATTAAACTGATGGAACAACACACAGGGTGACAGACCTAAGAGGGTGCCCCATGCCTTGAGTCTTTCTGGACCAGCTCAGCAGTAACAATTAGTTCTTGCATCATCAACATGGTGATCAAGAACAAAGATCTCCAGGCCACAGTGCAGGAGTCTACTAGGGGCCTCAGGTCTTCTCTCAGCTCAAGAAACTCTGTCCGGTTTCCACCCATTCTTACCATTTCTGCTTTGTCTTCCGACACTGCTGGTGGTGCTTTTTCTGCTTTCTGTTTGCACACAGCCTCCCATTCTTCCAGAGATGGCATGCAGCTCCAGATGTCTGGCAGGAAGACCACAGTCCGCTCCTGATGAGCCAGGCTTCCCTCACGCAGGTATCTGAACTCAGCAAACCGGAACCTGGTGTACAGGAATTGGAGGGTAAAAGGCAGGCAGGCAGGCAGAAGCAACAGTGACCCTTCCCAAGGGGTGTGCAGTTTCTTTTCCTTGCCATGATCACCGAGTCCCTTTTAGGCGTGGAGCAACTAGCAGTCCTAAAATGAAAGAGTTGATGATATTCTAGCCCAGTTATAAGAACTGGGGTGGTGTCTGTCTGAGCATGGAAACCTTCACTGTTCCCCTTCAAAGTCTTAGCAGAATCTCAAACACTCTCAAATCCTGTCCATGGTGTCAAGTCCCAAGCTGGCAAAGAGCTTTGGCTGTCAGATGGTAGAGAAATGTAAAAAAAGAAAAATGAAAAGAAATTAAGCAAGAACCAAAAGAGCATCAGAAAGTGCTTCTTCAACAGATCTCTCTCATTTCAGGAAAGCAGAGCTGCTGCCACAGAGCTCTTATTCAATTACTCTCACCAAGGCAAATGACAAGGGATACCAAGAGCCCCCAGCGGTATGTCTGGGTTTTACTGAAAGCATGAATCAAAACAGAGATGTCACATCAACTGGAAAGAATGGTTAAGAATTTCTACCAAAATCCATGCAGGAGGACACTTAAATGTTCAACTGAGCCTCATGTCTGCAATGGAATTAAGTGCTACAGACAACTTGTCTATGTTTAATTCATCTGCATATTTTACATTGTTATTATTGTCATTATCCTTCACATACCTCCCCCTGCCCTGCTTTCAAAAAGCGAACCCACATCATGCAGGTTTGCCAGGCATTAAAACAATGGAGGGGAAAGAAAATGGGATTCCTGAGGTATTAAATTGGAACAGGCAACAGCTAGTGATGCAGTGCTCTTCTGGCCCAGTCCCGGAGCTCAGACACTCAAGCCACCGAAAAAAATGCAGAGGTCGCACAGATGTGAAGACTCCTTGCCTGTACAGTTACACTGATTCTGTTATCAAAATACATTGGTTCACTGTGTTCACACATTTGCATGTGAGAGTGAAAGCGAGTCTCTTCCCCATCACCACAACCAGAATTTAAGTTGAATCATAATAGATAAACTGATTTCCAGATCTTCCAAGACTCTGATATATTCAGTAAACCTGAACACTTGGTGTTTCATTAAATCATCACACAACAGCAGAACTAGGTCTGGTGCCATTCAGTACAAGCAACTAAACTTGGCCTGCAGGCAAACATGCCTGTAAACACACATTTTTTGCAGTCAAGCTGCATCTGATTCAAGTGTACATGTAAACATCTTTGGCATATACCTAAAATGAAATGCTTCCTTGCTTATCACTGGGGTACCGAACTGCTTTTATCCAGAGGGCTCCCAGTGGCCACATTCCAGTAGTGACTGGGCTGAAAGGGAAGAGGAACAGAGCCAAAAGGAACAGCATTCTGCAGCTTAGCACCCTTGCTGCCGGTAACAAATCCTTAGGAGAAGCATCTCAACCTTTTAGGATCAGTGGAAGCTGCACAGAAGCTGGAAAACCACACACTGGTCCATGGTCAGGGCTGGTCTTCTAGGGAACACAACTCGGCTAACGATACTGGAGCTGCTCTGTTCCTCAGACAAAAGGGTGACATTCACCCCTTTGTCCTAAATTGTTCTGGTCCTAAATCGGACCACTGCCAACTGCTTCTGCAGAATCTAATGGTTAGCCGGAAGCCCAAGACTGTCTCTCTGCAGTTCCTAGCCTAAAACACTTATCCCATCTTGAACATAGTCATTCATTTTGCTGACCTACTTCGGCTCCCCCAGCAGAGGATTTTGCCCCCCAAAGGGTGTGCCTTCAGTTGCACTATGGAAAGGAAGGACTGCATTTGAGAGACTAGCACTCCAGCCCTGGACTGAATTCAACAAGTGGCAAAGCTTCAGCAAAAGCCTCTTCCTTCATCTGTTGCTTCCCAAACAAGTCACATGTGCAGCCAGGTTTAAGCAAAATAAGATCAGTTGCTATGGTTACGCAGTGCCAGGAATCTATATATAGACCCATTGCTACCAACCAAACCAATGCGCTCCGAGTTCCGGCTTTCCCCCTCCGTGTTGATTGGCTGGGGGTTCTGATCTTCTGAAGTCTTTGCTGGCTCCAAAGAGCTCACGTGCAAAAGCATCGAGGTGCAAAAGCATCCAGGAGCTCCAAGGAATCAGAAGCAGGGAGGCCTTGCTCAGGCATTTTCTGCAAGCAGGTCAGCAGCGGCCAAGAGACGCCTCTTGCTCAGCTCGACACAGGGAGGCGCCAGCAACAATCTTCACACCTCGGGACACACAGAAAGCCTGGCCATCTTGGCAGGGCTTCCTAGAGGCACACCTCCACTCGTGCACCTGCTCTTTGCATGGCTTCTTCCCATCCACAGAAGCCTCTTGCTCTCCCTAAGCAAGACTCGGGAGAAGGCTGCCTGCAATCCACTGCTGGAGGCGAGAGGAAGCAGACCCAGAAGTAACCTGAACCCTTGGGCCGCCTTCTTGGGTCTTCGGAGGGCAGAAACAATGTCTTCTTGTGCCCTTTGTCCACGGAACAAGCTAAAACAAGCACTAGCTCTCCTCCAGTGAGCTTTGAAGCTATGGGGCAAGACCTGGGAAATGGTGCATTTTCTTCTAAAGGCCTGAGGTAGCGACGGCACCCTTGACTGGCATGTGCTCAATCCTGTCCCACCCCCTTGTGCCACCTACTGATCTTCCCTCAAAGATTAGTGAGTTCTTCTACCTAGTTCCTAATCTAGGAACATAAAACATAAAACTTACTTTAAGCCATGCTGTACTTTGGCTTTTTTTAACCCTAGAATTCCAGAAGTACTGCAAAGGAAGAACACTGAGGTTTCCCCGGCTGGGGGCCCTGCTCAGTGTGGCAGGACATCTTTCAAGATCTCCTGCCAACCCCCTCACTTTCCAACCATACATTCCTTGAACAAAACAAACACCTTTTTTTGAACAGAGTGCCTGAAAGCAAGACTCAAGAAGCACACAATAAAAGGCAGCCACCTCGTGGTCAGACTAGCTGAGTGCAAGTGAGGATGGCTTGCCACCTCATTTCTGGAGGTTAAGGCAAGAGAGGCAAAGAATCCTGTGGCATCTTAAAGACTAGCAGATTTATTTCTGCGCTCGCATCCATGAAATAGGGCCCACTTCATTAGATGAATCATTAGCGCTCCAGTCCAGGGATGGGAAACAATGGCTTGCCAGGTAATGTTGCTCCTCAATTCCCATCTGCCAAATCAGGCAGCATGGCCACTGGTTAGAAATGATGGGAACTGAAGTCCAATAACATCTGGAGAGCCACTGGTTTCTTACACCTGCTTTAGTCCATCAAAGTCGATGAGACAATAAACTAGTTAGTTTGCAAGGTGTCACATAAATCTTTTTTTCAAAGAAGTCTGCTTAACAGATTACTATGGCCACTCCACTAGAAATCCAAAGGACCACTGGTGTTTGCATTGCTTAGTCTTACAAAAAGAACCACAGCCTTCCAACCTACAACTTGGATTTCCCACCAGGGGAGAAAGAGTGATGGCAATTGGTAAAGATGGGTAAAGGCTGGCTCATGATCCCCCCAAAAAACAGAAACAAACAGAACCACACACACACACACAGCAGTTTAACCATTTCTCCTGTTGTGACTGTGGCTACTGCTAGGTCCTACCAAACCACCATGTCTAAAATGTAGCCAAGCCTACAGGCAAAATCAAAGACACAAATCAGAATGCTTGACCATATTCTCAAAGGTAGAGAGTTTACATCTGATTATCGTTTCAGTTTCTGCAGAAAGTCCCCATAGAAATAAAATTCACAGAGATTGTCAAGGCTGGCAAAAGGTTTACTTGAGTACCATTCTAATTCATTTGCTATTATTTCAACAAATTCATTAGCTGTAATGTAAACAAAGCCAAAGAGGGTGGCTTTTGAAGGCACAATTCAGCAACCAAAAAGGAAGACTCACCATTTAGAGCAAGAGCTCAAGTCCAAACCAGTCTGCACTTTGGTGCAACGAATGGCTGTGTGAATCAGGGCCATGGGGTTGGTAGCTGGGTCAGCACCATCCAGCGATGGGGACCACTCTCCTCCAATCAGTACAGCCTCATCTGCTTTCTTTCCCAGCAAGAACTAAGGAAAGAGAAATTGTTCAGGAGACAATACTAGCCACCACTCTGACAACCAAGTCATGGAAGAGAGGAGAGCTCGGGGCAAAACCTTGGGCGGGTCTCTGCTACCCAGGGGTACCTATTACTCTTGATCAATATTGCTCCTCCCCCCTACCAATGACCAGGCCCTCTCCTGCTCCCTTAAAGCCACATATTCAAAACTGGAAGGGACCAAAAGGCATTAAATGTACCCTAATGCCAGAGGTCTGGCCAAAACACCCACCAGCGCCTCACAGATGAACCTGCATAGCACACAAACTGCACTGAAGCACAAGTGAAGACGAGGAGCAGCACCAGAAGAAAGGGCCTGCAAAGCAAACTGTTCTACAGGAACTGACAGGTCTCGGGGGTGGAGAGCTGGGTAAAACCACTCCAAACTGACATAGCTGCTTAGCTGTGGACTCAGAGAGGCATTAAATCTGGAGGTGGCCTCCAGATGTTTTGGGTGACCAGTCCCATAATCCCTGACCTATGCTGGCTGGGGATTATGGGGGCTGTGGTCCAGAACATCTGGAAGGCAACAGTGAATTGACCCCGACCCCCAACCTCAGCTCCATATCTGTGAAAAGGGGCAGCAGCAATTAACTGGGATGCAGAGGAATTGTGCTACAGAAGATAGAGATACTCTGCACATTAAGCTACTAAGACATTTTAGGCACGCAAGCCCCGCTATGGTTCATTACAGAAGACAAACCACAAGCGTTCTTAGTCTATCTGACTTGCAGTTAAGTCTGCTGTTGCTGACCTCAACTTTATCTTCCCAAGAGCATATTCTTAATGTGTAAAACTTCTGCCTCGCCTCTAGATGTGTCCCACCACTATCACAGTGGAAAGGGGGAAAACTGAAAGCTCCTATACGTGGGAGAGAAAAACCACTCTAGATCTTAACAGCACAGTAGTTCACAACACAGTGGCAAAGCAGTGACAAGATACTATTCATGAAAATGCACACAAACATTCCAAAACTCTTCTTTTTCTCAAACGCTGGCCTTGCATAGCTCTAATTCCAGCTTATTTCCTGGGCTTTTGGGAGAGCTCCCAGTCCTTTGGCCAGCATGAGCTGGCTAATGCTTACATTTGTTGCCCAAGGTCTGCTCTAGCACCTGTCTACTCTAGCACCTCTCTCCTAAACCTGAGGATCCACACCTTAATTTGCTTTGTTGGGTGCTCAGGATTCTCTCTCTGGTCACTGGGATCTTCAACGTACAGCAAACCATTGCGGTAGAATTCTTCTATGCCTGGAGAGGACAGCAGCAAAACCTACATTGCAGAAGGAAAGTCAGAAGCTTTGCATCCAGGCAAAAACCCAAGTGCAATAATCCCCAGAATCTCTAACAGGAAAAGAGCTCTGCCAGAGACCTTCAAGTCAACTCCTGCCAATGCAACTGGACAACTGTGGACGCCTGGACCAATGAACCTGCCTGCTGCCCACAAACATCAACAGAAGCCCAGTTGTACAGCCCACCACAAAGAAAGAGTAGGCTGCTGTGAAGGCAGCACAGGGCCTTCTCTGTGGCAGCACACCACCACCAAATTCCCTCCCTGCGGAGGTTAGACTGGCCCTGTCCTTGCTCATTTCTGGGTAGACAGTGGAAATTTCTCTCTTCCATTGGTCTTTTAAAGATTTAATTATTACACTCTCTGGAATGTTTAAAGACAGCTTTAAAAAATCTAGTTCATGTAAGCTGATTTACTGTCTGTTGTGTACATCATCTTGTGCATCTTCTGCCAGATAAGGCAGAAAGGTGGCTTACGAATATTTTAATAAGAATACCTCTGCTAGATGAGATCACTGTTCCCACAGTGGCCAAGCAGATAGATCTGGGAAGCCCACAAGCAGGATAGGAGTGCAATACCATCCTCTTGCCTGGTTTCCTGAGCAACTGGTATTCAGAGGCATACTGTCTCTGTTGCTGGGGCTCATACAGAGCTATCATGATAAGAAGCCTTTGATCAATACAAAATATACACGCGGGGTCTCAGCTCTCACTCCACCCCCCACCCCGCAAAAACACAATGGAGACAGGGCATTAATACAGCTGGGGGCTCTGCAGAATATTTTGCAAAGGGCAAAATACAGGTGTGTACATGCCCAAGTCTACAAATCCACAGGCTATGCAAGGTAGGCAAAGGTACAACCAGGATTACAGGTGCCTGTGACCTCCACAAACATGCAAAATTTGATCTATGACCCAAACCATGGTTCGTGTTTGTTCGTATTTTTTCCCTCTCTCCCTCCCTCCCTTTACAGATGTGTAGTACCTGGTGGAGGCCTACACCAGAAGGAATGGGACCAGTAGTCACAGCTAACCAAAATCCTATTCCTTTTGATGGCTCCATTCTCTGTAGGACTAACACTGGATCTGCTCACAGTAGTGTAATGCTCTACATGACTCTCTAGATATATTAATCTCTCAAAAGGAACACCTGCTGCAAGTATCCACCCTGTGCCCCTCATGAAACAAAACCCTGATTTAGGTTATCTGGACCACTGGAGGCAAGCAAATGACTAAGGACACAAACCTATGCAAACTTAGACAGAAAAAAGGCTACAACTCCCAGGAAGCCCCAGCCAGTCCCTTTTCTGTCTAACTTGAATAGGATTTTGCCTTGAGAGAAGCAGGACCACTGGCGTTGCTGCAAGTTCACTGCTGTGTTCAGCGCAGAACGTTTTCTGTTGCTACGATGTCCTGGGTAGGAGAACATCCATTTTGGAAGATGCCTTGTTTTATAAGATGAGTGACCAGATACAATACCAGTCATACCGGCCAGTTTCAAGTTTGTAATTAGCAAGTGGCCATCCCTAACAAGAACACACATGTATATATAATAAATATAAATGCAGCGCCCCCCGCCAAGCTAAAATGAAAATGTTCAGTGCCTAATTAATTTTAAACAAGTGAAATGCATGCTACTGAATTATCATCTTACAATAGTTAAAGCATTCTAAGACCCATAAAAATAAAAAGTTTTCTAGTGCTTTGAACAGAAATGTTAAGCTACATTATACTTTACCAACCTAATCAAGCATTTCAGCTCATTTTGGCACCTGGAAAAACTTTTCAGAGCCTATTCAAATTAAGGCACCGGAAAATTCTTTTTTTTTCTAACTAACACCTCTGCCTCATCAGAATGATCTGCCTAGGGAAGTCAACCAGCCCCCCCTTTATGACAGACTTTAGAAAACAGCTCTTTCATCGTTCCTTTGGTGGATAAGGGGACTCATGTATTTGCACTGAATCTGAGCTTGTTCTCTCTGGCTTAAAGTGAAGTGGTAGTTTAAAATGTTTTTATAATCCATGAGTGTCCCATAAGGGAAGGCATTAAACACTGTTATTATTAATAGCCATCCTCACTGTAGAATTTGGAAACCGATCTTTGGTGCAACAGAGATCTAGGACAATAGAATCCATGGCTTTTCCAGTTCCCCAGTTCCCTGTAGCTCTGGCAACAGCCACCAGGTCAGTGAATCCCAGGACACCTGCCCAACCTTGGCACCCTGTCAAACCAAGGCAATGCTGCAAGCAGCACAGGTGACATGAGAAGGCAGCACTACACTTGTATACCTGTAAAAGGCAGATGGAGCCCTAGGTTGGTCTTGTCTATGTATGACGGACCTGCTATTGTTCAGTTAACAAAAGAGATGCAGCCCAGAAGGTGAATCAGTAAGCTTTATGTTTAACAGGGCTGAAAGGTCTTGCAACTATTTTTCACCACCTGGCTTTCAGCTCCTACATCCACCAGCCCCTGTGTCCTTACCTTAGCACTGAATGTGGAATTGGCATCCCCTGGCTGAGCATCCTGTGAGGAGCGCTCATCAACGGGAGGGGTTTCTTCAGCAGAACTGGCCACCCGGATACGGCTGGGGTGCCGGAGGGTGAGTGGCTGCGTTAGTGGGAAAGTGTCCAGCCAGCAGAGGCGAGCATCGTAGAACTCCCTGGGCAACTGAATGCTGCCGTAGCGTCGCAGGATTTCCATGGCATCACAGAAGGGGCTGGGGAGACACACGCTGTCGCTGTCAAAAACAAGGCCTGGCAAAGCCAAGCCAGCCCAGTAAGCAGAGCAGATGCCGCCCCTCCATGCGGACAAATCTGAGGCTCTCGCCGGCCTGTCCTGCGCGCTCTGTTTCCAGTCAGGGAAGGGACTGGGTCTGCTCATTCATCTGAGCATGGAATACACACGCTTCGAACCAACAGTAACCTGCTAGGCCCAACACTTCCCTCTACCGAAAGAGAGCAACGCTTCTGCAGTTACTAAGCCCCTGCCTGGTAACACAGCCAGGCTGTCTTGTTTGCTTTCCCTAAGGGCGCGTTCATGAAATAAATGCCCGTTGCCTCCCTCCACCTTGTTTGCCGCATTTTCTCCCGTCTGTTCAATTTTAGATTGCAAGCCTCTTAGGGCAAGGGCTTGCCTTCTCAAGACTTTGCAGAAAACTCCAATACACGCTGAGGGTGGTGCATCAGTAATAATATCGTTGCATTTAAAGGCACAAGGGGCAGTTGTTCGGCAACCCACGTCGTTCTTCTTGGCCCTGGAGCTTCATTGCACTCTTTCCCTCTAGTGAATGGTCTACTTGTCTTACCTGTTCACAGTATAGGAAGCCAACTGGACCCGGTACTGGGGTGGCTCGTGCCGTGGCTTTTTCACTCCCCATGGCTCATTTCCCCGCTGCTTCCGCTTTTTGGAATCAAAGTCATCCCTAAAGGCACAACAGCACAGCAGCTGCTAGCACAGTAATTCTGTAACATCAACCCTTCAAGCTGCAGTTCTTCACAGAATGCAACAGCTTAGGAAAAACAGGTAGCTAGGGCACCAAACCTGGTTGCTTGAATTGCACTGTGACAGATAAACTGACATCCCTGCTCCAGGAGGAAGCTAAGTGGCAGCACCTGCAGCTAGTCCAGGACATCTACCTCTTTCATCTGAAGATTGCACTGCCTACGCAGGCAGAGACTGAGTGCCCCCGGCAAGTCCCCCGTGTAGCTTCCTACACCCAACATGCATCAGAACTAGATCCCGCCTGGCTCTAATGCTGTCGCTGTGCCAAACAATACAGCTGAGCTGAAGGAAGAAGAACACGACCCCCAAAAAGGGGACCTGGGGGCAGCCCTGCTGTGCCTACTGAGTGGTGTGTCCTGTCTGCCCATAAGGGGAAAGGAAGCCCCCAGGTGGGGCATGAAGGCAACTGCCCCGCCCCACCCTACCCCACCGCCATCTCCCAGACCCAATATTCAATGGCCTCTGAATCCAGTGGCTCTGTTTAGTGCGCGCAGCCCAATGGAGTCCCAGGGGCACAAGAGCCCTGGAAGGAAAAGGAAAACGCTGGAGGATTTTTATGGCCACCACCCTTGTCCCGCGTTTTCTGTGACCGGACACGTTTTGCTGGAAGGAAGCAAGCAAGCAAGCAAGCAAGGGAGCACCACCACAGAGCTTATGGAACAAATCCTGGCGACAGAAGGACGGCACAGAAGGACTGCAGCTCAGGCGCAGAACAGCTGCTGCCCCATCCACTTGCAACAAGGTTTGCAGTGTGGCAGCAAAGATGCTGGCTACAAAATTCTCCAAATCTTTCCCCTTTCTTTCAAGGGTTCCTGTGCCCTCACATTAAGGGGTTTGGGGCTCCGTTTAGTTATGATCACTAGGCAGGAGGAAAGGAAAAGCCTGGAGCTTGTCCTGGCGACATGGGCTCTGCACAAGGGCAGTGCAGAGACCAGAGCTTTCTGGCAAAACACTTTACCCCAAGAACACCACTTAAAAGCATCGGGTAGCAAGCAATGCTGGCTGTCAAAACTACACTGATGGACAAAGAATCCAACCTAGTTAGCACTGGGCATCTTTCATGCATGGCTTCAGGAACAGTTTGCTCAATACTGACAGGTATGTACACAAGATAAAAAAATATAAGCCTAAAAGGAAGCAAAACCATACTGATGAGAGAATGGATGACAAGGTTCAGGAAGCGACATCTATGCAGAAGCTCAGAAATATTCTTAGAAAAGGCGGAGTACAAAAATATTTTATGGAAAATGGTTTATTTTGGTTGTGCTTTAGAATAATGATGCACAGGATTAGGTCCAAACCTTCCTTTCTGTTGGAAACATTGCTAAGGCGAAATGGCTACGTACAGTTTTGAGCTGAAACAAGTAATTAGAAATGGTTGGGCATTGCACTGTGAAGGACTGTGCAATGGAAGTCTGTACAAATGATGATGACAACCAAAAACACGTCTAAATTTCTAAAAAGGTGGAGAAAGGAAGAGACTACTAAGAGACTTTGGCAGAGTGTTAAGTCACTGATGCAGGAAAGAAGCGGACAAACATGGCACTCCCTGTGAAGGAAGCTTCTGGCTCATTTGAGGTGTGGGGGGATTGTACCAGCATAAAGGCACCTTACCATCTGCCGGAATCCTGCCTGCCCTTTGGACCCCGACCACTGTATCTCCCAAGATGACCCAGGTGGAGCGACGGGGATGTCTGGAAGAGGCTTATGGCTGGGAAAGAAATAGTTCATTCTCATTTCTATTGCTTGGACAATCCACTTGCCTTCAAGCTGAGCTCCAAGATCATTATCAGCTCATTCAGATTCAGACACGCACACACAGGAGGGAGGGTGGAAACAGACAAGGCCACACCACATTATCAGCTCATTCAGATTCAGAGACGCACACACAGGAAGGAAGGAGGGATGGATGAATGGAGGGAGGGATTAAGAGGCCACACCACAAAATGACATCCTGGCACTGCCATACAATTCCTGCTCACAGGGTGGCCCCACAGCTTCAGCCAACTCTTGCTGAGAGCTTTGCCAAGGCTACCAGCTTGTCTCATGGGGCAGCCAAAAAAAAAAAAGTGCTTCTCAAACACTTTTGCTCCATGCCATCAAGGTGGAAGGGCAAACACTATTCTAAAAGAGGGAACTGATTGCTTTTCCCTCCCAGTTTCCCTAAGAGATCTGTGTCTTCTGTCACCATACAACACTCTTCAAACTCTAGATTTGTAATGCTAAATATGTTATGATCCCGTTTCTCCCCTATCAGATATATTCTCTCACAACACAATAAGCAGTCGCACTTACGCTTCTGAGGAAAGAGAGGTGGAATTCGGTGAGGCTGGAAGAGCAGCTGAGGTTGGGCTCCCAGAATGCCTTGCTTCTGTCCCAAAGAAGCCACGTGGAGCAGAGGAGTGGGAGGCTTCAGAAGAGGCTGTGGAACATAATGATGCCAGTCATTAGCAATTTACTGGCTAGAAAGACGAAACTTTTCTCATGCAACAAGTTCACAAATTTAAGAATTCAAATGCACATAACAACCATCAGAGGATTATGGAAAGGACATTCAAAAATGTTACTTTCCCTCCAATATGAAACTGGCTGGCCATGCAGCAGAAACGGGAGGAAAGTGGGAAGAATCACTGGCCAGAAGCCAAGAAGCCTATGTAATTTCATCAAACCCAAGATAGCCCAAGCGGGAAATAATCCAACTGAGAAGCACCCATGCATCACACCGTTTTCTTCTACTAAGTACACATCAGATGCTACAGAAAAGCTACATTATGGACTTCATATCAAGACTGCACTCATCTCACTTTTCAGAACACATTACACCTAAAGCACTCCAATCTGCAGTTTCTCAAATTCTAATGGAATAAGAAAAAGCGTTGGCACGTAGTATTATTAGACTTCTGTAAGGAGGATCAGCGGCAACGTGTTTTAGTGTATAGTGTCCCTACCCAGTATTCTTGCCAGCCATGCCTACTTTCTCAAATGGTGTTCTCTTCCCCACACCCCACCAGGTTTCCAAGCAGAATGTTGGGGGCACACTCCAAACTCTCTTTTGGGCCTGTTAGGTGGGAGCCATTCCAAAAGTTCTTTTATACCTCCAATGTCCGTGCTCCCCCAAAACATCTGAACCCTTTCAATTATTTCTCAGTAGCTCCCTTTTGGCTGTAAGCCTATCAGCATTTACCAGTGCAAGAAATATTAGAGAAATACTGTGTCATAAGAAACTAAGACTTTATTACTCTACATGTAAGAAACCTAGGCTTTCTTTTTCTTCTTTTTCAATCTTCTCTCTCTTATCTTATCCTCACAACAGCAATCCTATGAAGTAGGTTGTACTGAGAGTCTGCCTCTTCTAAAACTACCGAAAACATGTATTAGCTAGTTTTGTTTTCTAAAAGGAGGAGTTGGGCAGTATATTGTTTATAAACTGCATTATTTGTTATTCATCCTATTCTGGGTTACTTTGAATATCTTCTAAGAAAAGCAAGGTATCCATGGGCAAGTAACAGTCTGTCCCGCAACCTGCATGCCTCAAGGCAGCAGTAGAACAGCAATGTCGCTATGGTGAGACCTACTTTCCAAACTTCTGTTGCTTCATTGGAAGAGATGGATTAGCGTTGAATAAAAAGCCCAGGCACACAGCTGGGTAAAATCAAAAGCTCTCTAACTGTTCACCCCGGGAAGTCAAAACAGATTCACACAAGCTCCAAAATTCCAGGAAAGAATCCTTCTTTTACATTTAGAAGAGCAGAACTCTGCAGTACCTGATTTGACAATGTCTGAACCTTCAAGGCATTCCAGGGTACTGACTGGCTAGGGTTGTAAACCGCTTTCACCAGCACCTTTTCGCCAATCTGTGGGATCCGACCTTTGACAACGCTGAAATGAAACAAAACATGGAAGGCACATGCAGGATTTCTGCTTCTGCTGAGCATCCATGGGCTTTCTTAGGGTTCTCCAGTGGGAATAAAGGACCCAGAGTTCAGCAACAGTCTTCTGGCTGTACCATGTCATGGGGAAATGGGGAGGGTGCCTTACAAGAGGTCAAACTGTAGGCCCATCTAGCCCAGGATTGTCTACTGCAGTGTGAGGCTGATTTCCAGAAAAGGCCCTTTCCCCATACCTCGCCCTTTCTTAAAACTGGAAATGCCTGGAAATTTTCTCTGCATGCTCCACCACTGAGCTAGACCCCCTCCCCTAAAAATTCCCCTTCTGTTCTGGAACATCCATTACTGGAGTTAGGCAGCATGCAATTGTCCCCTCACTGATCAAATTTGCAGGAAGGGCAGTTCAATTTATATTAAATATTTGACAGAAGATAAAATCTATCAGTGTTATCACTGAAAGTAGCTAATTTTTTATCTGTAGCAATGTGAATAAGAACAATTCACGATTCAACTTTCTGTTTGAAACTAGAAGGATCATATCCAGGGACCAATCTGTGATTACTGAAATGCTAGACAACAGTATTTGTTCTATACTTTGATTCTGCTTGCTTTGAGATTCTGGTATACTTTTATTTAGCTTGACTGTAATAATCGTGTGAGCGACTGGTCTTAAGTACTCTGCAAGTAGAAAACTAGCACTGCAAGGCAACAGCTTGACTAAAAATTTTCTTCCTCATGCTCACTGCTTTTTTTGCTTCCAAACTGGCTTTTGTTTAGCATTCAAAAATGACGTCCCCCAGCTGCAATCTGGGGTGGACTATTGCAGCTTGGGATTCTGGTTGCATGTCAACAAAATGCAACTGAAGTAAACATTCGCTGTTTTCTCCCACTGCCTGCCTCCATAAAGACAGTGCTGTGGGTACAATGCCATTAGCCACTATTTGCTGCCCGATTCCGTTCTTGTAGTCCTCTGCTCACCTTAACTGGAAGAAAACTTCATCATCCACCACTCCGAAGTAATCATGAAGACTGGTGACAATACCGGTGAAAACGCGTTGTTTCTCTCCCCCCTGAAAAGCAAAGGCCCAGGGAAATCACCATAATGACATAATGATAGGTTGCCCGTGCCACTCATCTGGCAACCAGCACACACTGTCAACAAGCACCATCGATAACTCTGCCAACATGACCTATGTACGAGCCGCTACCGAAGGCACTCTCATTTTTGGTCACTGGAGTTCTACACCATCTGCCAAGCTGCTTAGGTTAAGGTCACCTTAAGCTTTGGCTATGCTCAAGCTCTTTCACCCGTCAAAAAATGAATCCATTATTTAGTGATCTCCAGCCAAGACACTTCGCCACCATTCTCTTTAAGAGTGATTTAGATATCACCAACACCATGCAAAAACTGCACTGATTTTGATGCTTCAGAGCAGCACATAAATTCTGTTCAGAATTTTAAAAAGCCCCTCTCATCTTTTCTAAGAGCATTCAACGCTACAAGCAGCTATATAATACTGTGAAATGATTGGTCACTCTGAGCAGACCTGGTAACCTCCTACATGTGCTGCCATATGGAACAAAGAATCCGTACAACCGCACCACAGGAAGCAAGTCACATGTGACTCGGGCACTCGTGCAGAAACTGGGCAAGTGTGGAATATGCCTACACACAGGCCACTTCTTTCATGTGACAACACACATGAGAAACACTCCAGCAGCCCACGGGTTTACCAGGCTGACTATTATTTGAACTCCTGTGAGGGACAAAACCTCACAAGCAAAACAGAAAGCAGGAAGGTCCAGCCATATGCATCTATCCTAGCTCATCTAGTGCGCTGCTGCTGCTCTTTCCAGCAGAATTTTGCCCTTTTCTGTATTGAGTGGTTAAACTGTCTTGGAGGAGTCAACTGCTAATTGTTCTGCAAAGCTGAGGGGAACCGTCCCCTGGCAAGATCCACCAGCCATAGCACTAAGGGCCGCTGGTATGTTGCCCACACCGATTCCCAGGAAGAACATCACTGCACAGGGAAGGCCAGCCTCATCCCAGCAACTGCCAAAAGAACAGATGTCAGGAATGTGCTTTCTCACACCACCTGCTCACACACACCTGCCAGAAAGAACACTGGCTCAACTGCTCGATGTCATGAGACACCAGAGATAGAGAGAACAAAAGCTTGTATGTCAGGTTTTAATCTGAGCTCTTAAGTACCCCAAAGGCCTAAGGGTTGACACTTTGTCACAATATTATTTTTGCAAATGTCTAGGCTTCACACTCCATGTACAAACTTCATGACTGAAGCAAGAGTTCTGCATGCATACATAATGTGACATACTAAGGCTGTGCCAAATTTGGTGGCGTCTGAAGAGAGAGCAGCCCTTGCCCCCTCCCATACACTTGCTTTCCATAACAGACTGAAACACTTCCAACTGCTTCTGCTGTAGCAGTGAGCTGCCCTGGCACCATGAATGCAGCTCTGATCTCATCAGAAGCTGAGGAAGTTCAAAGTCACATGCCTGAAGCATCAGAAGAACCACACAGATCTCTGTGGAGCATTCACCTGACCCCTGGCCAAGATCCAAGTTGAGGTGCTGTTGTGCTGCCTCTAAAATATACAGTTCTTGGCACAACCACAGAAAAGTCACCCAGACCAGCCACAAACTTGAATGGCTCCCAGCAGTCTTAGGCTGAGGGAGGATCATTCACTGCTCCCCGAAGGAAAATGAAGAGAAAGCAGAATTTCATCACATCGTGAGCAAGACACCCACAAGGGAAAGACAATAATCTACCGTATACCTGAAGATGCCGTGCTGCCTGAATGATATCTGCTGAGATAGGAGGATTTAATAGGCCAGGTGCAGGTCCCAATAAAGAGGCTGGCTGGGTTCCTAGTGAAAAGGAGCAAACGCCATTTCAGAACCGCTGTGAAATAAGCTCCTTACTATATTTTTCCCCACTGGAGTAACTGAAATGTTGTTTACAGGGATCAGGCTAAAGGATATTCAGAGATGCTCTCCACTAAACCCATACTGGCCCGACAGTACCTAAGTTTATTATTTACACATCAATTTGCTACTGTTGCAATTATTATTATATTTATCATTGACACTTCAGTTTAGCAGCTATACTTTAGACCAGCCTTCTCCCAACTGGGTTATCTTCCAGAGGGAATTACAACTTCAGTCATTCCCAGTCAGCACCACAATTGGCCTACTGGCAGAGGATGATGGGACCTTAACATGTTTGATCACGTATACTGGTCATATAACAAGGAGAATGAAAGTTAGAAAGGAGCACAAACATGGACTTGTCATGAAAGAGAAATATTGGACATGCTTTGGTGTAGCACTTTTTCCTCAAATAGGTACAAAGACACAAACATCATCAAAAATCATTAAAGCAGAAATAAACATTTTTATACACAAGGAGCCAATGTATCCATCAAAAACGAAGAAATAAGGTGGGTGGAAAAGAGCAACGTTTCTGACTTCTGCATCAGACTAACCTGAGAATGACCTGGCTCCCTGAAGGCTACTAGCTCGCAACTGCTTCTGGCGCTTGAACTGTGCCATTGTGGATGGTGTAATCGGTTTATTGTCTAAAAGGACATTTTAAAAGAAAGACAACTGTTACAGAGAGGTGTCCCAAACAAGAAGCAGCACCAAGAGTGTCAAAAAGGAAATGAATCCTTCCAGCTGTCATGAACCGCAATAGTAAACACACCCCCATCAAACGTGTTTTTCCAAAACGAAGTTCTCTAGTATAAAGAATTATAGCTGATCCGTACAACCCACGCTACCAGGGCCCTGCAGCAAGGGAAATATGAGAGCTTTCACTCAAGCAGAGCAGGCACGCAGTGACAGGGATATCGAAGTACACCCCAAAATCCTTCATCGGTGCCAAAATAAAAATCTTGCCTGGCTAGAACAGAGATAAGTGGCCCTACCAAGAAAAACAACCAAAGCTGCGAGTAAACAAGGGAGCCATAAGTCAGGCAGGGCTGAGGAAGGAGCAACCTTGGGCAAAGGGCCCCTCAGCGATGCGAAAGGGAAGAAAAGCCGCGCCGCGCTACACGGCAGGGTCGTCGCCCCTCCAGCCAACCGCCCGCCCCCCTGCGGTGCCGCGCGGGCCGGCCTGCGGGAGGCTCTGCCTGGAAACGCGGGTCGGAGGCCGCCGCCAACGGACGCCGGGGCGGGCCAGGCGCGGCGGCGCAGGGCCCTCGGGAGGCAGACGGCGGCGGGGGACGGCGCCGCCCCGCGCGGCCGCAGCGGGCCGGGCTCGAACGCACCTGCGGGCGGCGAAGAGGACGGCGCGGCCGGGAGGGAAGCAGCGGGCTGCGGCGCCAGGGACAAAGGAACCCGGAAACGCCGCCCGGATGTGCGCCTCGGGAAGCCGACCCGCCTCCCGCCCCGCGCGCCCGCGCGCGCGCGCTCCCTCCGAGGCGCCGGAAGCGCCCCTGTTCGAGGCTGCGCCGGAAGTGAGCCCGCTTCCGGCCCGGCTGCGCGCGCGGGCGGGCGGGCGGGGGCGCGCTCGTGCTCGCGCTCGCCTGTCTCCGCGCTGGGGTGGTACGGAAAGGGGGCGCTTCCTCCGCGCTCGCACCCGCCGGCAGAGGGAAGGGGAAGGGGGTGGCCCGTGCAGCCCACCCTTCCAAGGCCAGGTATGCTCTGGGGCCCTCTCCCTTGGGGGGGCGACTTACACAGCGAGCCGACGCGAAGGCGGTCCGCCCGCCGAAAACAGTCGCCAAATGGCGCAGCAGGCGGCGCCAAGGGCCGAAAAGTCGCGGGGCGCAGGACAAAGTAAAACGCGCGCGGTTGCATGCGTTCATTTATGCGTGCTCTGCAATCTGAGGACTCGTCAGCTAAGGACACCCGTTTTGGGAAAAGCGATGCGTGAAGAGGGCATTTAATTTCAGAGGGTAAAGCTCAGCAGAAAGAATCGGGAGGCGGGAAAGCACAAATGGTCAAAAAAGGCAGCTAAGTGAGTAGTGGGGGATCCCATGGAAGAGATAAGGGCTCCTGTGCCTTTATCTCAGCAAATACCTGGGGACAGCGAGATGGTGGGACACATGCCCTCCCAGATGCAGGGTTCCAAAGTAAAGACGGAGGAGAGGGTCCCTCCTGCTCGCCGAGGGCCCAGTCCAAGGGTAGGATGGGATAGAGAAAGAAAAAGCTTGGACCCAGCCATCCCTGCCTTCCAACTTCTTGTATCATGTAAGGAAGTATCCCTGCTTCAGTGATGGGTTGCTTCTAGAAGATGAATTACACAATTTGACAATGGGCAAGTGTGTCTGCTAGCTTCAGCAGGCCATTGAGAACCCCCAAACAGACAGACATGATTACAAGCTCACAGGATTCAGATTATTCTATCCTACCTTGTGGAGCTTTTTAAAGACAACCACTTCCTTCCAGGGTTTCTTGAAAATGCATGTTACTTTTTTATGACATACATACATATATATATATGAGAGACAAGATGTACAGCACACACTTAAATACAGCACAAAAACATCGTGGACAAATGAACTGTCATTTACAGATGCATCTCACAGTTTCTGTGCTATGCAAATGTGCAACAATATGGGATTGTTTAGAAGAGATTGTAATTTTGCTGGGTGACTTTGTATTACTTGTTCTATGGTTGTTGTTTGCAAAAAAAAAAAATGAGTTTTGGGAATTTTCCTAAAATATACTTGTGAAAAGTATGTAGTTGCTTAGTCCATGGCAATTTTCATGTGTACATCTTGTGTAGGTGTGTTTGCAGCTGTAATGTTATGCATTTCAGGCAATTTCATGCAACCCCAACTTAATAAGTCTTCTCTGACATCTTGAACAGGTTGGCATAAAATAAACTGGCATCTGTGTGATGTTATATAACTATTAGATTTATATCTCACTTTTTTCCAATGAACTCAAAGTGGCTTACATAATTCTCCTGTTTTCAGTCTTATTCACACAATAACAACCCTGTAAAGTAGGTTGGGCTGAGAGATGTAACTGGTCCGAAGTCCTCACAATCCCTTTTGGTTTTACCCACCCTAAGAAATTTAGTGTTATCAGCAAACTTGGCCACTTCACCACTTACTCCTAATTCCAGATCATTTATAAATAGGTTGAAAAGCATAGGTCCTCATACAGAATGTGGTAGGACTCCACTGGTGACATCTCTCCCTTGGGATAAAGTTGACATTTATTCCCACTTTGTCTTCTGCTCTTTAATCAATGATCCATCAGGAACCCCCCTTTTTATTCTATGACTGCTTCGTTTGCCAAGGGGGGGGGCTTTGTCAAAAGCCTTTCAAAGTCCAAGTAAACAATGTGTGTGTGTTTCAGCCCATTTTCATGCTTCTTGACACTCTCAAAGAACTCAAATAGGCTAGTGAGACAAGACTCCCCCTGGCAGAAGCCATGCTGATTTTTTTCTCAGAATCAGTGAGCACACAAGTACTGCTATCTTTATTGATGCCTTCAGGTAGTTTGCCCAGAATGGATATTAAGCCTGAATTTCCTCCTGGATCCCTTTTTAATAGTTGGTGTTACATTGACTATTCTGTAGTCCTCTGGTACAAGGACTAATTTTAGGGACATGTTAAATTTATTTTGGCAAGGCCAGCAATTTCATGTTTGAGTTTTTCAGTAACTCCAGGATGGATACCATCTGGACTGGTTGACTTGCTTTCAGTTTGTAAGGTTGAGAATTTCATCTCTTGCCACTGGTATCTTTTAGATTATGTACAAGAGCAGTGCAAAGGTAATTATGCTGTTACAGCTACATTCACTGGGATTTAGGCAAAACTTAGCCTATGTATATAGTTCCTTCATGCGTCTCACCATTTCCCGTGCATTGTGTATCTTTACAAGTATGCTGTAGGGGGAGCCATTATTATTGTCTCCCACACTGGAGATGGGGGGGGGGAGACAAGGGTGGGAGAGAATAGGTGGCCCACAACCACCTAGTGAAAGAAGATCGGAGCCAGGCAGCTTTCCCAACACGTAACTCCATCTCTTTGCCACCATGCTACAGCACCTCTCCAGATCAGTAAGAACCAAACTCAGTCCAAAGCCTCAGTGAAACCATCACTAGGCTCACTTGTGCTTCCTGTCAGCATGCAATTCTAAAGTCTGCCCTTCACAGAGTTCAAAAAGGGAGTTACACAGCTTTGCAGCTGCATCAGTGGAACAATTTTTTTTTTTTAAGTATAGCTTCAAACAGCAAATACTCAGGAGAAACTGGCTTGGAGGGTTTCCACAATAAGGGTATTGCTGCCACCTTGTGGCTAATTTGGGAATATTCCCAGAGTTTTTTCCTTTTCAGAGATTGGGTTTTTCCACTAAAAATACACTACCCTCCCTCCTTTCTATTAAGCAGCATAAGGCCTGTCATCACGCAATTAAGGAAGCTACATTGACTAGACAAGTGTTGCCTATATTTATTTCTGACTTTGAACTAATGTGGTAATTGCCACAACAAACAATTTGAAGCTGATACAGCATGGCAGCATAGAATGCTGCCATTCTGGAGGCCTGGGTTCTGGTCCCACCTAACCCATGAAGCTCCCTGGGTGCCTCTGGGCCAGTCACAGTCTCCCAGGTTGCACGGGTGCTGTGACACCACGCCTTTATTCCGATTCCAGCTTTAAATGCGTCCACCTCTTCGAAGTAGGCTTCATTCTACAAAATGTGGATCCAGGTGGGCCTCAGCTTTTGGCCAGATGAAAATGTCATAATGGCTGGGTTCAGAGAACCCCTCACCCTCAAGGCTGAAAGGTGGGATGGGCTAACCAGGGGCTTTTACCAATACCCAGTTCACAACCCAACCCAACAACCCTCTTCTTGGGCCGTTCATGTTTAACAAACCATGGCTTGCAGCACAGCTCGGCTCAGACCAGCACCCTCACTCAAACTTAAGTGTGGGTTCTCTTGGATAGCACCTGATATTGCTCGAAGCTTATCAGTTGTACGTGATGTGTCGACAGTACCTTTCCTTGCCGTTCCGTATTCCACTCAGAGTCCAGAGTCCTGCAAGCCATTAGAATGGCATGTGACTCCACCGAGAATGCTGAAGCTCTGTTGAAATCTGCAGAACAGATACCAGATGTCCAAACTGTATCTCCCTTTCATTTGTGAAAAAGGCCTTTGATCTGACAGGCCAAGTCTTTCTACCCTCCTTCCAGCCAAGTTACCCACTGAAAGCTAAATCCAAAGGACCAGTTGTTTATCAGACATCAAAAGGAATGTGACAGAGGCCGGGAGAGGAGACAGCCAAATCCATGGCACCATCTCTTTGCCAAATCCCAAGCAGTGTTGACACAGGAGCTGCAGCCCCATGGCTTGGCTCCGAAGCACAGGCTGTAGGAAAAAGCTTCGAAAGCAGAGTCCTCACCCAGAGGTTAATCTCACCCCGGCATTTGCTCTTTAGGCTCTGGAATACTGCATGCTGCTTTTTAAGACAGGAAAGGGCACAGTGAGTGCAGCTTGTTTCCTCCAAGATTCTGATCTGGGGGCAAGTAAGTTCCCATGCGAACTCTCCCTATACCAAGTTAAAATGTTCCTTCCTCTTGCCCGCTCTCGCCTCCACTACCCTTCCCTGAGCTGCAGATGTTTGGGATTATAGCATCCAGCATTCCTGATCAGTGGCTGTACTAGGGGAGTCCAAAACATCTGGCCAGCATCAGGATGGGGATGCCTGGTTTACAGGGAAGGCAGGTCCTTCGGATTTCCAGCTGGACTCTTTCCTTGGTTTGCTGGAGGAAACCTGGGTATGCCAGGTCAGTAGATGATCTCACATCTTCTACTCCATTCAGATGCACCATCTTCCAGCAGAGGGGGCGGAGAACTCAAGCTATTTGGATGATCAAACCACAATTTGTGATCCTTGTTTGCAGGCACTATGGCTTGAACAATCCAGATTGCTACATGCAAAGGGAAGGCAACCTGGTGCCGTTGAGCTGTGCTGGGCCACAACCCTGTTAAGTCCCCAGCCAGGATCTGCTCATATTCCACAGATCTCAAAGCGGGAACTTTCAGAGATGCAATGTCCTGCCCTGCCCTGCCCTGCCCTGCCTCATCCCATGGGCTGACATGGTGCGATCCGAGGCATTTCACTGACGGGATTCTGCTGAACTTGGCTTTTCAGACAGCCTTCCTCTACCACTGTTTCCAGAGCAGTGGGGTTAAAAATTCTGCAAAAGCTTTATGTTCCTTTTTCAGACAGGAAAAGTTTTGTTTTCCTTTTTTCAAGTTTTATTTTCCTTGTGAATATACCCCAATTTCCATCCGCATGTTACCATTTGGTCATATAAATATAACGAGTTCACTCTATCCATGAAATTACATGGCTACATACACTGGAGTGGGGGGAGGTAGAGATCAGGGAAGCATCAATCATTTATTGGAAAAAAATAAAGGCTGGGAGAATAAGTTATTTCACATTCTGCAACACAGGGATTTCCTGGTGGAGATGAGGTGGCAAAAAGTTCAGAGACAGGTGTACACTCCTCACTGCAGCTTTCCTTGCGCAATAAGGGATTATATAAGCCCACATCCAGCCAATGAGGGCAGCCAAGAAACTCTGGAGAGAAGAGCCCTAATGGGAGAAAATAGCTCTTACCTTTGTCACAAAGACATACACCAAATGAATTACCCTTTAGTTTGTATAGGACAGCCCTAAAACCAGTTTTCTCCAGAGGACCAGCCTCAAGAGTGATGGGTCCTAAACACAGTGCCTTAAGACGTGAGGTTAGTAAGGACTCTGTGACAAAGTTCTTTGCCAGCATGATACACTGGCTCCCTGCAAACAGGGGTTTACCCAGCTCTGCCCAAGAGGTGCTGTGGTGCAAGCCATAATCACTGCCACCATGGCCTTCCTACCAAATCTAAACCCTGGTTTGTATGACAACATTGGTGCACACAGAATATGAAACTATGGTTAACACTAGGAAGGAAGGGGGGCATTTCTCCAGAGATAGAAGAACATGCTTCACAAGGCTGGTTCTCAATTTGCAAACCACAGTTTGCAAGAACCCGCATTTTTTCTGCACAGGGCCAAATCTGGGCTTTCCCCTCTTTGGCTAGGGAAAAGGGCTTCAAGTTCCAAGCCTATTCTTTCCCTTCTCGCAGGCGAAAGTGGGGCTTCTATGTCTCTGTTCTCCTCGGAAAAGCCTCTTCTCTTTCTTCTTGCACCAGAAGATATTCAAGTTCCATGATCCCAACCCCACCAAAGCAGGTGGAGCCCATCAAATCCTGACAACCACACCCAGAGGGAAGGACAGTCACTGCATCCAGTGGGGCCAACTTGGTGCCCACACATCTGTCCCGGGTCTCCAACAGAAGCTGCAGCTCACCGCATGGAAAGGTGTTTCGACCGGCGTTTCTTGGCCCCCAGAGTGGGCAGGAAATGCCGCCTGGGGTGCGACTCCTGTTTGCCCAATACAAGGTCCACTCTGTAAGGAAACAGGAAGGGATGGAAGGAGATCAAGTGCGGGAAGCCACTTCCTCTAAGGAGTGCTCACAACCTGGGTAGCAATGACATCCAAAACGACAAACCTGCTTTTTGCAGCATCTTCTGCAGAAGTCAGAGCTATGTTAAGATAGGATTAAACAATGCATCCATGTTGCACCAAAACAATCCAATGCTACACTTGACTAATGCAATCCACCTGTATGTGGGACTCTCTTTCAAGACTTCTCAGAAACATCAGCACATTCAAAATGCACATCTCACCAGCTCTAAACTCTTCCACTGGTTTTCTGTATGTTTCTCGGCACCAAACTTCATCAGTCTGGCATCTTCCACACCCCATGAGTTAGGCAACAACTCCCATTATTCCCAGCCCAGGGGGGAGTATGCATTGGTTTTAATCCAAGAAGCCAGTGACTGCTTGGGATCATGGTACTGAAAAGCCCATGTGCCTCTGCGCATGTGTGTGGGTGCTCCGGGCCCTGGAGCAGCTCTTCCCCAAGACCACACAGCCAGGACTCCTCCTGCCTGTTCCTGCTGCCCTCTCCATCCTGCTGCAGGAACCCAGACTCTAAAATCATCCTTCCCGAGTCTGGCACCCTCCACCTGCACACAGCTGACTGCAGGGATTCTGGGAATCGCAGTTCAGCACTTTTGGAAGGTGCCAGGTTGGAGAAAGACGGACACAAGGACTGGCATAATTTTTAACAAGTGGAGCAGGGAAGCAGCGCCCACTTCATCCCCACGTTTTGAAGGTGATCAAAGGGGGATTCACAGGGTGGCATCTCAGCAGCCCAAGAAGAGAGACCAGCAAAAGTCTTTTAAAAACCCCAGCAAAAGGCAGACTTCAAGGTTACCCCAGCCAGCACCATTGGTCAACAAGGCAGGCAGTGGAGCTTACAAGCACTTGTGAGACATCTGGAAAAACTTCTTGGCCAGTCATGTTCTCCCTGAAATCAGCCCAGGCTGGAAGGACCCCAAAAAGACCTGGTATCTCCCACATTTACATCCACTTCCTTCTGTGAGCCAAGCTCACCATTTAATCAGGCAATGCCTCTGGGGAGTCCCCAGTGCCACATCCCAAAGGAACAACTTACCCACACGGCTTGCTGGGGGCTGGTCCACCAGAAGAGGTTGGTTCACTGGCCTGTGCAGACTTTCTTGTGATTCTGTTGATCAGCACTTTGACTTTGCCCCAGTTTGAGTGGTCATTCTAAGGAAAGGAATGTTCAAAATGAAGAGAGTAACCACACAGAAAGGGACAGACCTTCCTCTCGTTGCAGTGCCTCAAAGACGCTGCACCTTTTCCATCTCTACCCCTCAAAACACGCGAAGATGGAACACACCTCGGCCATGACTCTCAGCCCTCAGGCTTTCCAGCACTGCAGAGGATTGTGATGATTGTGAAGCACAGGCTCACTCTGCACAGAAAGCGCACTCATGGCCTTATTCGGGGCCATCCCAGCCAGAGGACAAGGCCCTGCCATCATTCAGTAGTTCAGAGATGAGTCACCAGCAGAGCCTCCCATCTCCCCTGCCTTGCAGACTCTCAGGCTACCAAATCAGGTGATTTCCCTTTAGTAATCCAATCAACTCCTCCAGGAGGGGTGAAGCTGAGACAATTAACTGCTGAGACACCATCTTCCTATAGTCCTAACAAAGTGTTTCAGCCAGCAGGGCTCACTTGGAGCTATCTGGGGCCTTAGCTTGCTTTCTTCCTGCCTTACAATATAATCTTCCCTGTGAGCTAAAGGGTCACTGGTATGCAACAGCCTCTGACAGGCTGTGAGAAGCTTATTTCAGACATTTGATCCCATTATAAATGGACACAGGACTTCAATCCCAAGCTTCTTATTTTATTGAAATGGTAGGTCTGTAGGAGCAAAGGCTGAGAGAAGAGGCATGTCCCGGTGGCCAGTTTCAGAGCCTCAAAGCCTGTTTAGAGAAGTACCCTGCAGGATCAGTTCCCAAAGCAGCCCACCAAATGCCCATGAATTTCCATGAGCAGGATGTGAACACAACAGCCACTCCATATACTCTTCCCCCAGCAGGGCAAGCTACCTCTGAGCCTCCAGGAAGCACCTCTGCCACCGTAACAGCACAAGCAGCCTTGATCCTCCCCGCCCACAGTCCTGGCGTGACCTGAGACAGCGCACCGCTGTTAGGCTGAGCCTCACACACACCAACAGGCCCCAATTTTATCCCTCATGAAGACTGTGAGGTGGGTTAGGCTGAGTAGGTGCATTATGGATCCAACATCATCTACAACATCACTGTAAGCCGTCCTGAGGCTGCTGCAATAGGACAGCGTATAAATGTTTCAAATGGATAAATACTACGATTTAAGGCTGAGTGAGGATTGGAACCCAGGTCCGTCCAGTGCTCTACCGGCATCTTGTCTCTAACTTCCACTAGCTGCATTTCTCCTCGCAAAGATCAAACTGACCCCATGGGGCACCCCCATCCCCAGCTTCATGCGGAATGAGAAACACCCCCAGGCAGAACCCCACCCAGGAGCCAGCCTACCTTGAACTTCATGCCAGGTGGCAAGGTGTGAACACCCCCATCCTGCTGATCCATCAAGCTAGGCGAGCTGGCAAAGTGAGAGGCTGTCTTCCTGGAGTAATCGGTCTTTTTTCCTGCATTGATGGAAGAAGATGCTTGTTGGTGCGACATAAGCCCTCTGTTTTGGGAACATGGGGTGCTGCCTTATAAAAAACTGAGCTATTGGCCTGTCAAACTGGGACTGATAACCAGCGAGGAGGCCTGGTAGGAAGTGCTCCCAGCACAGCGCAGGCATTAAGCATATCCAGAAAAACAACACTTTCTCAGTCATTAGGAAAAACCTGTAAGGTCTCAGCAAAGATTTGGGATCTCTGTGAACTCTTCACCTCATCCCTGAGGCAAAAGGGCCTTTACATGCCCTGTAGCTGAAGTTGAACTGGGCCTCCTTGCTCACCATCCCTCCCTTCAGAGAGGCATTTCCCCTTTTAGAGAGGAGCAAAATGGCACAAGAACCGAGAGATTATGGTGGCTCGGAGAAAGGGGATAACTGGGAAAGGTCTGGCCCCTGGGGCTGGAGCTGCTGTGGCTCTGCACTCAGTAAAGAAAGGGATGACTGCCCCACACCTGCTGTTTGCCCCAGCCAGGGTTGCCTGAAGAAAGCATTCACAACACACAGAGATCGTCCTTCGGAGCAGCAGCCTTGCACTTCAGGTTAAAAACTGGCTACTCACCCTGGTTGTGGACTGGACTCCACAACACTCGTGTGTCTGAGGCAGAGCGTGCCCGAAAGTGGTGAGGGTGCCAAGAGCCTTGTGGACTGGGATCCTCCTCTCCGTCCCCCTGCACTCCTGGGGCTGCTGAAGCCTCAGGCAGAGGTTCTACTCGCGCCAGCTCAGGGCCAGGTTCCAAAGCAACTTCAGGAATGCCCTCCTGCTGGACAAGATGGACATAACAGGCTCCATGAATCCAGGCGTCCTAGAGAACACTGTTCAGGATTTAACCTTTGCAAAAGGGCAGGGGCAGGCATGAGTGAGGAACTGGAAGACAGAAGGCGTTCCGGTTCAAAACTGCCAAAAAGCCAGCATGGTGCAGTGGTGAGAAAAGAACTGGGAGACCAAGATTTCAAATTCTGCTCAGCCACGAAGATCACAGGGTGAGTCACTGATCAGGTTCACACAAGACACTCACTCATTACAGACAACTAGCTATAATGAGTTGCCTGGTCGTCTGAACCCAGAGTATTTAGTATGGAGTACCTTATATTTGGAATAAGCCCAGAAAGAGCCCGTGGCTTGTGAGAGGGTTGTTCTTGCCCATAATGGGTTGTTGTGTCATCTGAACCCAGGACTTTCTCATGAGTCGCCATGCAAAAATATATACCTGGAATAATAACCTAGAGGACCATGCTGCCAAAGCACTTCCTCCCTCACCATTTCCATTCTTCACCTTCATATTTCTTCCCTCTCTCTTAGCTAGTCTTACACAATTGTGCACAGACTGCCCCATAGGCAACAATCCTTCTCAATCTCCATGTGGGTTATCTACTTCACTTTGCCATTGCCTTAGAAATTTATAAAGTAATTGACCAGCTACGTTTACACATATGGGACAGACATAGGAGTGCAGTTGCGAAGGAGCAACAAAACTCGTTCAAGAATAAGCGTAGCCCCCATCGCACTAAAAAGCAAAGGCTTTGCAAAATAAAGCAGCTGGGAAACCAGAAAGGGCAGCCGCTAGAGTGGGGAGGGGTTGGGGGAAGGAGACAAGAAAGGTTCTGTCGCAATGTCCCTGGACTGAGGGGGAAGGCGGGGAGACAAGCCATGGGGTGCCTGGCAAGGTGTGTAGCTTCGCTGCAGGGACAGCTCAGCATCAAGTGTGAACTTGCCCACCCCATCCCTCTCAGACCAGCCTACCTTGCAAGGCTGCTGCAAGGATGAGATATGGCAGGTAGGCAAGAGCCACAAATACTGTTTTCTGCTCCTGGGAAGAAGGGTAGCCTGTAACAGGTGCTCGTTCGCTTTCCCAAATTCCCCACTCTCCTACCCATAGTGTGTTCAGCCCAAATGTAGATCAGCTTGTACTGGAACGGACTCTCATGAACATGCTTAGGACTGCGTACAGCCCTTGCTTACATTCTCCAACTCCTGGGCCCGGATCCGATCCTCCATGACCTGCTGCTGATGCTGGAGCTGCAGGTTGGCCCGCTGCAAGTGAGCAATTTTCTCCAGCATCTGACAGATGTGCTCCAAGTACCGCAGGCCCTGTCCAGGCATGGTAAGCGGCGGCTCACGGTGCACCTGGGAAGGAGGCATCACATGGCATCAGGTACACATGCCCACCCAAGAGTAAACAAGGAAGCTGTGGGAAACGTGCAACAAACCTGCTCCTTTTAAGTTGGCAAGGCCCTGTTCTTGGGCAATGCTCTTAAGTCTTCATTAAGATGTTATAATTCAGGCCCAGTTTAGATACCGTGTGTGCCTGAACTACTGAACCTGTTCCTGGATGGCACAGCACAAGACTGCAGTTGGGGAAGGTAGCCAGGGGGCTTTTTTTAAGTGTGGGGGGAAAATTAATTTTTCAGTTGGGAGGTCTTCCAAGAGGATCCTGGTCAAAATGGTTCTCAGATTTCCTGAGGTTCCCATCTCAATGTACAGGGGAGCTTTTTGTTTCTAATATGGAAAAAAATCCTTCCATTCCACCCATGAAAGAGGTGTTCAAACTGTTCCTGGACAGTATCTCCCAAGACAAATGATGGGTGCACCTCCAAGTAAGTTCTCTCTTTACTCAGAAAATATTTACACTTGGGATATGTCCACTCCTGTTCCATGTAAACAACTAGAAAAACTGGATCAAGAAGCTGCTTGGTCCACCTTCTTTTGGAGTGAAGCTGTAGCAGCAGCAGAACAGGCAGGCAAAGAGTTAATCTAACCAATGCAGTTCTGCAAAACTGGTGTTGTTCAGATACAAACTGTGCATGCTCAAAGTTGGCAATCTGGTCTGAACTTAAATAGTGAATTCATAAATTGCCAGTCCAGATTTACTAGAAAGACAAGCCTTACCATTGGACAAGATTCACCCAATGAGCCAACATATTACAAAATCTGGAAGCACTACTTTTCAAAACTATAGGTTTGAAGTTGCATGAGTAATGCTCTATTTTAGTTTTTCTCAGAGGGATAGAGTTATGTAAGTGTGCTGCAGAAAAAACAACACATCATCTTGTGACTCCTGAACTTTCAGCTTGAACATAGTATTAAGTACCTGTATTTTCTGTCCTTCGTTTTCCTCTGACCTCACTACACAGAAGCAGTGAGGTCAGAGGAAAATAAATGAGTTTATCAATATTATCAGTTACTTTTCTGGGCCAATTCCACAAAGCAATAAATAAAAAACAGAAACAGCACAAAACTGGGCATAATAAGCAAGCAAAAAGTGGAGGCAGCACAACAGAGATGAAAAAAAAAAACCATCTTCAGCATCAGATAATTCACTTAAGGAAATGTGTAAAATAGACAAAGTAAAGCTTTTAATGCTCCCAAATGCCAGAAGCTAAGCCATGTTAACAAACGTGTGCGAAGTGGGATGCACATATGAAGGGACAATGCCACACACGGCCTGCTGGCTGGGCCCAGAGGAGCTGGCTCCAATGGCCTCGTTGGTTCCTTCCAAATCGATCATTCCATGATTCTTACCCAAAGCCTCGAACACTCAGACTGGGAGGTTTAAATGGACGTCCCAGAGGAGGCAGTTCCAGAGGCCCTGCATCCAAGCTAACTCCCCTAACTGCCGAAGGAGGAGGGCTGAAGGACCGTCTTGGCTCCACAACCTAACTGAACTGGCAAGCTCATAAAGGAAAATGCAAATCCTTAATCCGGTGCCAACCTTATCATCGTTTTCAGTGTCAGAGTAAGACAACCCTTTCTGCCAAGGCTTTTGAAGAGATGCACTCTGCTATTCCGGGGCCTGAGGGGAATAATCCAACCCAAGCGTTTTACAAGGCTACTTTTCATCTTAAGTTGTGTTAGCTGTTTTTAATTTTGTTTGTAAAGGCTTATATTTTGGAAATGATTCACTGTATTAATAAAGTGGACTTTCTTGTATTGTTTTTATGCAATATTGTAAACTGCCCAGAGTTTAATAATATTAGGATATCCTTGTTCGACACTGTTTGAATGAAGCTCAGAAGCAAACTGATATACAGACCAATGCAGACTAAGTTCCTTGCTGCAGATACAAGAACAGCAACTTTCTAGATAGACTGATGGATGGAAAGACAGAAATATCAAAGGTCCTAGGTTCTTAAGATTATGGAAAGTCATTTCCAAGCATGCCACCAAAGCCTGAAGTAATATTCAGGCCCTGAGTTACATCTCCTTCCTCACTTCAGCTCCAAGTACCTCTGCTGCACGCTGTCCTATCGGCTTGATCACCTTCGCCCCCAACACAACCCAATTTCCCCAAACACTCCTAAAGGGAGCAGCGGAAGAATGTGTACGAAGTGTGTTTAACTGAAGTGTGTATGTTAAATAAACTGATGTCATACACACAGATACAAAACGTGTCTATATTTGCATACTTTTGAGCACACAACTTGTCTTTTCCTGGATTTAGATTTCAGACCAGTGTCAACTGCAGTCTTAAAGCATTAGGCGATTAACATTACTTTCCATGTGCTTTTCATTTCCCAGCCTGCCAATCACTGAACAGCTCTGGGTCCAGGTTGCAGCTCACACGTGCCACTGAGGGAGGCAGGGAGAGACTTTAGTTTGGGTGGCAGCAGTTAAGGGGCCACCAGGGAAGGCAGAGGACTGCCCCTGGCAAAGTGGGGAATTCCTGTCACAGCTCAGCAGGGAGAGGAGCAAGGATGAATTCAGAGACCTTTCCTATCAGAGACCTATGAGAGACCTTTCTGATCTCACTGACTACAATTGTGACACTTATATTTCAAGTATTCCGATTCCAGGGCAGCAGCCAAATTATGAAAATCTAAGGCGGTAAGATTTCACAATCACTTCTCATGGCAACACCTCAATTTTCTTCTAAAATCCATCCCCATCTCTTAATGGTTAAAGAAATAATAGTTGTTCATATTTAGACAGTGATGCAAGCGTTCAAAGCCATTCACATGAATTTTGCACTGTTCCTTACAAAATTGTAAAACATTTCTTTTTAATCCTGCCCGAGAGCTCATTCTATCCCCCGTCCTCACTGCAACCTTGTGAGGTTGGTTATGCCAAAAGAAAGTGTCTGGGTGGTCACCCAGTGAGCTTCTTGGATTAACTGGTTTAGAACTGGGTCTCCCTAGTCCTCACCCGACCATCACATAGCGATGGCTTCTCCACTGTCCCTCCAAGAAAGGCTTACTTAAGGCCACCTAGTGAATTTATAAGGAGGCAAACTCTGAACCAGGGACTGACCAGCATCCTCAAGCCAGCAACATTTGTACATTTACCCGAGAATTCAGTGGGGTTGTGTCCAAGCTAAAATGTACAGGACTGAGATTCACGTTGCGTTGGTGTGGGGCAACAGCTACAAGGTAAGCCAGTCCACACAGCCTTCAAAGGTGACAATGCTTCATCTTGCAGTCCATGGCAAGTCAGAAACAATCTCCATTTATTCTGTGGGAGGCTTATATGCCCAGAGCACCTTCTTTGCCCGAAACCCTAGAAAGCTGACGCCAGCCGAACATCAAGCTGAGCGTCAACCAGCTTGGGCTGCACAGACCGAAAGTCCGACTCAGTACAGGGAAGCTTTCTCTCATGAATGCAAGTGACTCGCCACATTAATAGCTATATTGCTAGCTGTGGCCTGGATGAATCAAGTCCTGGACGTAAATGAGATCTTCCCATCTCAGCACCTCCCTTCTGTAAACCAGGTCAGAGAGAGGGAAAGAGGGTGAGTGTGTGTATCACTCTATATAATCCAAGGGCAAGTACATCTCCACATTCCAGCAACAGACAATTATGCAAGGGATCATCACAGGGTGGAATGTAGAGCATTTCCCATACGAAACCACCCCACCTGGCTGGTGGGAGGAGAGATTAAGCCACTGGAGGAAAGCAGGTGAACTTCCATGCTCTCCATCCTGGTCTCCAGCCCCACCACATCTGCCCATAAGTAAGAGCCACCCTTTCAGACTCTTTAGACCCTGGGGCATGGCTGTCCCTCCGCCCAAGCAGAAGGCAAACCACAGCAGGAAGCTAAGCCCCTTGCTAAGAGAAAGGAGGAACTGCACTGGGAAAGCAGCCCTGAGGGAGACCAAACATTCCTTCCACAACTTACCTCTTCTTCTATGCTTTCCTCCTCTGGACTGCTGTAGCCAGAAAGTGCTTGGCTAAATTCCCCGGCAGCTGCACCCACAACCCCATCAACACCCGCTGGCCGGCACAAGTGGTAGGAATCGAGCCCCTCTGGATCCACCAGGCTCCGGGACCTTCGGTTCAGCATCCTGGGGGAGCGGCCAGGCAGGCGGTGCTTCTGTGATCGCTGGACCACCTGGGCTAATTTCTTGCTGACGGAGAGATTCCGGCGGTAAGCCCGATCTTGACCAGCACTGGAGTCCTCCAGCCCATCTGTTTTGGGGCTACTCTCATGGGAGGGAAGAGGAGGGGAGTCTCCCCCTGAAGGCTGGAATCCGTCCAGACAATCCAAGGAGAAGCTCTTATCAGAGCCCAGTGGGGTAGAAGGAGACTGATCGTTGCTGGCCATCTCCACTCCAGAATCCTCCGATTCGGATTTGACGAGCCTCCCACTCACAGGCAAGAAACTCAGCTCACGGGACACGGGTTCTGTTGGTGAGCTGGCTTCGCCCCACTGACCTGCCTCACCACTGCTCCCATCATCCAGCTCCAGGCTGAGCGGCAACTTGGGTTGAGGGTCCTGCAGCTTCCGATACATGCTGACCGAGGTTAACACCACACAGCTTTCTACTGGTCTCCAGGTAGCGCCTGCAAGTTTCAAAGACAGGCACACTTGGTTAGGCAGAATTCCACCCCCATTCCACCGAGATTGCAAGTGTGACACCTGAAACCAGGTAAATATAGTGCTGCTTCACAAATAACTCCACCCCAGCCCTTCCCCTCTCAAGGCTCCGCAGGACGTCCAGCTCCTGAGGAAACAGGCTCACTTGCAACATGTGCATTCCAAGAATATTCCTCATGGGTCGTGATTCAGGCAGCAGGTATTCCTCATGGGACATGATTCAGGCACTCAGGTAGGAGGCAGCGGACGGGGAAAGCAGACACGTCGCTGCACAAGCCCTCGTGGGGAAGCATCTTGTGCGAAAGGAGAATGCATGTGGGCCAGGGATGGCGGGCATCCAAACACCTTGCCTCCCCGCCTCCTCTTGCAGAGGGGGAGCCTTCCTCAACCTGCTACTCCCTCTGTGCTGGACTGCATTCCTGGCCATTGACTCTGATGGCTGGGGATGATGGGAGTTGCTGTGAGATACACACTGTGAGATACAAGAGGCTTCTCTAGAACAGCGGGAAGCTACCTGATGCCATTTGCTTGTTGCATGCACTGGCAGGGGGAGGGGGGCTGCCAAGAGGCGACTGACTGCCCCCTTCCCCTTTCCCCTCCCTCCAAGCAGGCTGCTGGAGAAACACAGGCTGCTCCTGCCAGAGGTCTGAGCTTGCAAAAGATCCTGGCTTGCAAAGGATGTTTGAAATCAGGGCAAGAACTGCTGGTCGCCATTTCTGATTTAAAGGACTCTGCCATGCCTACAGGGAGCAGAGCGCTCTGGAGGAATGCTCCCCACATCTGTACCCACAGAAGCACTTCTGCCTCTGGCACTGAGAGCTTCCGCACAGGAGTTCTTCTTAGCCCAGCTGACTGGCACCCACGTTCTGCAGTTTAAGCTTTAAGCAAGCAGGGCCAAGTCACTCAGCAGCACATCTCAAATACCAGGTCTGTGCATGTCTGCTTGAAATAAACACGGGCAGTTAATTTGCTTCCAGGCCCTGCGGTCTACTCAGAAGAACCCAGAAGATTCAACCTTGCTGTTCTACTACCAAATGACTTAAAGTGGGAGAAAGGCTGAATTTTGAGAGCAGCTCCCTTTCCCACCACCACTTTTGGCTACAAGATTATGTTGTTGTTGTCGTGAAGTCGTGTCTGACCCATTGCGACCCCATGGACAACATTCCTCCAGGCCCTCCTGTCCTCCATCATCCCCCGGAGTCCACTCAAGCTCACACTGACTGCTTCAGTGACTCCATCCAGCCACCTCATTCTCTGCCATTCCCTTCTTCTTTTGCCATCTAGTGTTCCCAGCATTAGGCTCTTCTCCAGTGAGTCCTTCCTTCTCATTAGGTGGCCAAAGTATTTGAGTTTCATCTTCAGGATCTGGCCTTCTAAACAGCAGTCAGGGTTGATCTCTAGGACTGACCGGTTTGATCGCCTTGCGGTCCAAGGGACTTGCAGGAGTCTCCTCCAGCACCACAATTCAAAGGCCTCAGTCCTTCAGCACTCAGCCTTCCTTATGGTCCAGCTTTCACAGCCATACATTGCAACTGGGAAAACCATAGCCTTGACTATATGCACTTTTGTTGGCAGGCTGATGTCTCTGCTTTTTAGTATGTTGTCTAGAGTTGCCATAGCTTTCCTCCCCAGGAGCAAGCGGCTTTTAATTTCTTGGCTGCAGTCCCCATCTGTGATATCTTGGAGCCCAGGAAAATAAAATCTGTCACTTCCTCCATTTCTTCCCCATCTGTGGACCTCAGCAAAACATAGAATCATCCTGAGTGAGAGTTGTTACTGAAACATGAATTATTATGTTGCCTGAACCCAGACACACTAGCAAAACATGGGTGGTTAGCCACAAACAGCTCTGTGGTCAACAAACCAGAGATTGCTAGGACAGCCTGATTCAGTAGCCAAGATAATCCAGAGTTCTCTGTCAACCCATATTCAACCCTTGAGTGTGGGTTATCAGGTTGTCTGAATTCACCCAGAACTGGGATCTCTCAGTGCAGAAAATCCACTATTGCAACCTCCTGAATCACTAGTCATCCTAGGGAAAAAATGTCCTCCGCCACCTTCTCAGGCATTCTGTCCCCCTGCCAAACAGCTTGTAACTTCAAGAAATTCTTTCTAACATTTAGTAGGCCTCCATTTTCTTGTAATTTAAACCTTGCAGTTCACGTCCTGCCCTCTGAAGCAAACAGAAAACAAATGTACTCCTTCAACTATATGACAAGTCTTCAAATATTTGAGGTTAAAACCGCAAGAGTCTGTGCAACGACATGCCTGCAACAAGAATTCCTGCATTGCAGAACCTCTGATCTATTTTTCTGAGAAAACTAAGCCATTCTGTGATAAGGCAAGTACTGCACCTTGACCCAGCATTTGTGTGTGGCAAGAAAAAAAACTGCATGGAGCAGCCTCCACTCCTCTGCCCAAATGCATGAGCTGCACACCCCCTGATAAAATGAAAGCCTGGTTCTCAACTCAGAGACAAGGAGCGTATTTGTATTTGAACATGGGCTGCTAAAGCACCAAATTCCTCCACTAGCTGAAACAATTACATATTATTTCCCTGTTGAACCCAACTTTTACTTTCCTCCCATTGCTCATAGGATAAATTTTAAAATGTTAAGTTCCTTGCTGTAGGAATCTGTCTTTTTTTTTCTTTCCTTCAAGCAAGCATTCAACCTGTACTTGCCCTCTATGTATAATCAGTGCCACATAAGATGGCAACTGCATCAGAAAAGGGAGACTTTCTTATGCATTGGCTCACCCCATCACCCCTCCCCAGGACACACACCAAAGACATGCAGATTTGCAATATTTACAAAGGCTTGGAAAAACCACCTGTTTCTAATGCATTCTAATTTATGCATTTATCTATGCTGCTGCTGCTTCATTTCTGTGATTCTGGACATTCTTTTCACATGGGCTGAATTGTATTGCAACTGTCTTTTCTTTCAAACTCCCAGCTTGTGTTAACATATTATACTGCATTTCATGCTTCTATTTAAATGAAGAATCCAACAGGAAGGACCCATCATTTCTCTTTCTTGCTGGCAGCACAAACACAAGCATATCTAAACGTCTTATCGGAGGGTACTCTGTGCCTGCCGTTCCAGTGAACTGTGGAAGAATGCATTGCTGAAGGAGCGCCCTGCAGAAACAGAGCTGGGTTGGCTGCAGAGCTGTTTACACACGAACGCATCTGCCATCACCTGACAATCTGGAACATAATTGAACCAGTGAAGCTTCACCTAGAGCTGCTGCCACTCCTCAGAGAGACCCTCCACTCTGCTAGGGTCATCCAAATCTTAGGGTGGGAAGAGGTAAAGGGGAGAGAAAGGAAGAAAGGAGAAGTAGAAACAGGTATGCTGTAGTAATGAGAGATGGCTTGTTTGATCTACTATCAGCTGGAACCAGTGAAGTCCCTCCAGGTGGCATGGACCCAAACTCCCTTTCCAACTATATTTAGCTGTAACCAGCTACCGGCCCTAGCAGTTTCCAAGTACGGACAATCTAGGCTGCTATCCCTTCCCAGGAATTAAGAGACACTGAAGAATACATACTTCTAGGTAATACACTACCAATCCACCAGCTCTACTGGCCTCCATGGCACAGTTCAGTCGCATCTGGAAATGGCATTCAGCATTTCTTTCTCCAGTGTACTGCACTTTAAAATACTGAAACAGTACGTATTTTATTTTAAACCAGAAAACTGAAGGTTAGGATAACTTACAAAAATTAACACAGTGCAAAAAAAAAAAAAAAAGGTCAATCAAATTAATGCATCCCCCATGAAATTCAAACTAGCAGCACTGAATGGATTTTCCCCCATACCTATTCACAATTAAAAGTCACCACTGGCCGTATTCATGCACAACAGTTAAACTAGAATTCTGGAAAATCTGGGTTTACCATTCAACTATGCATTGCTGAAGCTATCAGGATTACTATTACGGAAGCGAAAATTTAGCATAGCATCAAAACTGATGATCCTGATTTTTCACTCCCAAACCAACCAGGAATCAAAACCAGTAACAAACCTTGCTTGTTGTTCTGGTTTGCCAAGGAAGCAACAAGCTAGGAGCCCCAGTTTAATACACCACTAAGCAGGAGCGAAGAAGATCCAAACACAAGTACGCAGCCAATGAACATAAGGATTTTCCAGAATTCTGGCTTATTGTTGTTATGTGAACATGTGCATTGGTTTTTCTTTTGGCATTTTAAAAATACAGTTTGGGGAAGGTTGGGGTGCCACAACACTGACATCAAGTAGAAATGATCTCAATGTTATAATAATAATAATAATAATAATAATAATAATAATAATAATATAATAATAATGTACAGACAGGAGAATGCAAAAGCAAGAACTTGTGTAAATAAAGCAGAAGGTAAGACTGGGCAACCTGAGTCCAACTCCTCGCCCCTGAGGCTGACAGCCAAAATGCACATTCCCTGACCTGGTACTCTCCAGAAAGTTTGAATCAATTCCAGTCAACCCCAAGTGAGATGGCCAATACCTGGAGGGTGCTAAGGTGGGGAAGACTGTATTTCACCAGTTCATACAGAGAGTTAAACCTCCCCCTTCCCTTGCATTTCCCCTTCCCACCGGCACAGGCAGATTAAGAAAAGACAAAGTTGCCAATGAGGGCTTTTAAAAAAATCAGACCTGTGGAGGAATTTCAGGAGAAAAAAACAACAGCGCATGGTTCAATGCTCCCCTCTCAGAGAGTAGCGGTGTCAATCCATACCAAATGAACACACTCTTACACAACAGTAAATTAAAAGATAACCCTAAGCTACTGTTTGGACCAGTGGGCCCGTGTGAGAAACTTTTGCGAGCACCGCCACAAAATGGCTCCTATGAGGAACTGACCAATCACACAATGGCTGCCCTGGGGGCAGGACTAGTCAGAAGTGAGCTGAGACAGTGGGGTGGGGGGAGCAGATGCAGGAATCTAAAGCAGTGAGCCTAGAAAGGAAGCTTAAGGCCGATCTGGTGTATTCTAAGGTTCTAGTCTTGAACTGGGCAGGGAGTTGGGAGGTACTCCGAGGTCCCCACAAGCGCCACGTTAGGGGATTAGTGTAACATGCTTTGATTCTTATTTGGGCCAGTCACAAACTCTCACCAACATGAGCAAAAGAAGGCACAGTTCCAACACAGCACCCACAAGCCTTTAAACGTGTTCCCCATTTTAAAAAAATCATCCATGGACTGTATAGATCCATAGCAATGCATGTGTTTGAAATGCACACAAAAGTTCTAAGCCAAAAAAAGTGGACTAAAGTTTGTCCATTTCAGCAGATGTGTATGTACCACCCATTCTTGTATCAGACCGTTTTGTAAATACGACGGGATAGAAAAGCTTTAAATACATAAATGTTGTAAGAGCCTCAGTCCATTGCAGTATAAGAGGTGAGTGTTTATCCTTCCAGTGATGTAAAGTCAGTATTTTACCTATCAAAAAGTAACAGAGATTTACTTCTAATTTACAAGTAAATTAAAGATATTCACAAGTAAGCCTATTACATATCCACAAGTAATAGAGAATCCATTTACACTGAGCATTTGTTGATTTCCATGAAAAAATCACAAGAATGTGCACATCACTGAAAATTAAAGACCATTCCAGCACAAAATACATCTGTGAAATAACCCCCTCACCAAAATAAATAACTACTGGACATTGTCAACACATATATTTAAGAGAAACATTAGCCATAGCACACCACCAGCAATTAGCTAAACTAGATAATCCTTATTAATTAAATGCTGTCATGTCCAAAAGACACAAAATGGAAGCTTTTGTCAAATAAAATGTAGCCTAAAATTAAGGGACACAGCAGGTGGATGCCAAAGTGACAATCAGTTGCTTAGGAGCCCACAGCTGTTTCAAATTCCCACATTTGTCCGCAATCCAAAAATGCTCCACCTTAATGCTTATGTTGCAACCTGGAATTCCATTTGCATTAACAGCTATTACATGAGTGAGCTACTTTCCTTCCTCCTGCTCACCCCAGACAGACAAGATAACCAAAACATTTCATATACTCCACCAGCACAGACTGATTCAGTAAGGATCATCATGGAAACCATTTAGAAATGTACTTGTCTAAAAATATATATTGAACCTCTCTCCCCCACTAGTTTCAGACACAGAAACTCAGTACCTTGAATCAAAAAACCTAAGTATTTTTAAAGATATACAGATATAGGCCCTGTTCAGACATAAAGGCAGCTTTCAGCAACAATCTGTAGGTTAATTAACTCAAGAATCATTTGGGATACCCAGTGCACACAAGCCATGTTGACTTTCCAGAAGCAACCCACAAATGTGGCAATCATAGCTTGTTTCCTATGACATTTAAGGAAATAACCACAGTTTGTCCTCACAGAGCACATCCCACAAATCATGGTGCAAAATAATTAACCCGCAAAAAGCCACCATTATGTCTAAACAGGGTTGTAACATAGAAGAGACTTCAGCATCAGTAGGATTCCATGTGGTGCTGCAATCGCAAAGACACCCTATCCAAAATGTTGCATCTATGTAGATTGTTGAGGTGGAACCATGGTTAGGGCAGCCTTCCCCAAAACAGTGCTTTCCAGATGTTTTGAACTACAATTCACAGCATTCCTATCAGCTTTGCTGATTAGAACGGATGAGAGTGCAAGTCCAGAACTTCTGGAGGGCACCAGCTCAGAGCAGGTCCGGTTTAGAGTGCTGGACTAGGACAGCCCAGGTGCCATGTTCGTCTAACCTATTCACAGGGCCACTGTGTGAATAAATGTGGGGGGAAGAATAATGCATCACACTGCACGGATCTCTGGGGAAGACATCAGTATTAGATAGAAATTTGGGTTTAAGCGTTCAGGAAACATAAAGTAAATGGCGACTTCCCATATCATAAAAAGCAATTACAACTTTGGTTCACAAGTACGGTTTTGAGCATTGTGGTGGAGTGTCATGAGAACACAGCTAGAAAAGGTAGATTTATTACAGTTTACATAGGCCTGATTATTGGCTTTGCATGGCAGAAATTCTTCCAAAATACAAGTACAACCAAGTTTGGTCTCTTGCCATACATAGTGCTGTCAAGTTTGCCTGTCATGTCCATTGTACTTTAAAAATGTGGGACAACAGTAATTAAGAGCTTGTTAATCTCACCGAGCTCCAGCCCAAGAATTCATGAGATGTTCTGCTTTAGCTCAACAGCCACAGATTCTCGTTGCAAAGGTGGTCCTTGAGTATTCCACTTCAGATTGTTTGAATGTTCCTCCACCAAGTGCTACTGCCCCAAATGCCCCACAATCTTCCTCACAATGTTGTTTGCCCCTCCCCTTCTGTGCATGCATTCAGTCCTGCAGTTCTTCTGCAGCTTAAGGTGGCCCAGTCCAGAAATATCTTTACCAAAGACTGACACAGGCAGTGGCAAAAGGAAGGGGTAATGGGAATTCCCCAAAACAGCTGCTGCCCAATTCTGCATTGCTGTAATTGAGAAAAGGCAACTTGCAACGAATACACCAGCTTGTTTTTGGAGCCCTATATAATGTGTATCACCTGTGTATCGGTTCATTTAAGGGAAGGCTGCGGTACATCAGAAATTGATCAGACTTTTTTCAGGATGAGAATTACTGTGATCTGAATCCAGGGCCAAAGCTCAATACTAGGAGATCCAACTCCCATAATGATCAATGGACTTAACTCCCATGCTGGCCAAGGTGGCAAGAGAAGGGTGTTCAATACATCTACAAATTTATTTCCTGCTCACCCCTGCACTACAAACCCCGCAGCCTGGAGCTAACTTTTCTGGAGTTGGCATGAAGATCTTCCTTAAATCAGTCTACATGCACACAGGGCTTGGGAGTTACTCCTGCAATCTTTCCTCCTCCTGCTGGAAAGTTATCACACAAAGACATTTGTGTGGTAATGAGAACGAAATGTTTGGATTCCTTTATTTTTAAGAGTGGGGATAGAAGTGGACTGCCACCTGCAGTATACCAACTGAGTTCAAGATCCCTTAAGTCAGAAAGTTAAGAGCATTTCTTTACTCAGGTCACTACAGACTGCTACAAGTTTCCGTGGCATGACTGGAGAAATGTTGTTAATGCAGCAGAGAATGCAAGGAGAGGCCATGAGGGGGTATATTTTTTTATACTCCACTTGTGTACAAATCACAAAGCAAAACCACTTTTTTGGAGAGCCAGCGTTTCTGCATCCTACATATCACTGCAAAACCAGGCTGGGTTGGAACCCACAAATTATTTCAAATGCACATGTTGTTTGTTTCCAATTTCTCAAAATTACAGCACATGTCATATTTAAAGAAATAAATGTTTGAGACTAAAAACACTTTCAATAAGAAAAAGATTGTGCATCTTGACTCAGAGGCAAAATCCTCTGAGTGCAGTTAGTTGAATTCCAAGTGTGTGCACGTGCAGACAGGAAAAAGGCCTCCAACTTCCAAGCCGGGAAAGGAGGGTCTTTTTCTCCCATTTAAGCCTGCACAGGATTGCGCCCTCAATCATACTTGGAATAGACCCATTGACTTTAGCAGGGCTTTGAGTATTGGTTACTTCAATGGGTTTAACTCAAGCATGACTAAGCATAAATCCAGTCTAATGACCATCAAAGCGTCTTGTAGCATCTTAATGACCTACACTTCTTTTCTGGTGTAAGCTTTCAGAATCCAGTGAGCTTTATTTCCAGTAAGAGAGGGGTGAACTAAAGAAAACGGCACTCAATGGACACTAAACTGCGTGTAATCCAGTACCCACTTGGTATCCTTCGATTCAGTTCGCCTCCCCGCCGTTACCTTTTGTCTTCCTCCACCATCTAGCCATTTCACAGTATTCAGACGTTTCGCAGAGGACACGCGCGCAGGCGGGAAGCTCCAAGCCTCTTCCTCAGCCACGGATACAAGGCGCCGTACCGGCACCTGAACGGGAGCCCGCGCGCTCAGCGTCTCGTACGAGCACGCTTTCAGGCGAGCCTCTCGGGGAACGCGCGGTGCGGGCTCGAGGCCAAGCACCCGGCACGGCGGTTGGGCGCCGCTCGGTCCCTGTGCCGGCGAGGTCGGCCGCTCCGGGGCGCGAAACGTGCGCCACGGAGGGCGAGGGCTCCCCGCTGGGCGCGCGGCACAAAGCCTCCGCCACCGCGCTCCTCCCGCCAAGCGGCAGGCACTCACCTCGGTTCCAGAAGGGCTCCACCGAGAGGACTCGCCGCATTCTGAGCATCTCCGCCGCCGCTCGCTCCGAGGCTCCTGGCTGCGCCGCGCGCGGACGCACCACAAGCCGGCCGGAGCGAAAGCGTCTTGGCGCGTCGCTCCGCGCTTTATAGGGGGAGCGGCCGGAGTGACGCCGGCTGAGACACTCCCAGGCGCAGAAGGACCCCCCCGCACGCCCACCTCGCTCCCGAGACAGGGCGAGGCAGGACCCAGGCGCTCGCTGCAACACCGCGGCGGACGTGCGGGCCGGGCGGCGCGGTCCGCGTTGGAGAGAAGCTGCGACCCGCGCGCCCAGGCCTGGCCGGGGGCAGGTCTACTCTGAAGCAAGCCCCATGAAGTTCAAGCCCCGTTCAAGGGTTGCCACTACAGCCCTTCCCAAGAAAGAGCCGCCGGGAGACAACGCCCCAGCCCAGCCCAGCCCACAGCCCAGCCCCGTAGCCCGCCTTCGAGAAAAACAGTTTTTGTTCGTCTCCAATTTACCTGGATATATCGGCTGAGCAATCACAGGCATACTTTTCTTCTCTATCTCCCTTCTCCTACAGCTGTCTTTCTCTCCCTGAATCAGTTCACGCAATCTGCAAGAGGGAAAAAATTATACCGACCTACTTTACAGGGGTGTTAGAAAGATTTACTGTAATCTTTGAAGCTCCTTGAACCTCCCAGACTTGCAAGGTCTGGGAGGTCGTCGCTGGGCAAATCTGGAATTCTGAATGGTGCAGGTGCTCTCACAAAATGGCGGTCATTACTAGTTGCAATACAAGCTTTTGGCAAAAGTCGAACTGATAAGGTTGAAAGAAAAGTAACTTACCCAAGAACCTAAGTACAGGGCAGAGGGTGTGTTTGAGCTCCAGACCAGTATTTGTGGGGCTAAACAAAGATGGCACCGGAGGGCAGTGATTACATCATACCAAAGTTTTGGTTAAAAATGATTTTAATTAAAAACCAACGTATTTTTAAAAAACTCTTCCAATCAGAAGGAGAAGGAAGCCTGGTGGACATCAAGGAGGTGTCTGGATACACATTGATGCAATGGGCCAAAAGAGCAGATAAGTGCCAATAAATATTGTGACTATCTCTGATAGTCTCCATGTTTAACAAAAAAAAAAAAACTTAGAATGTGTTGCTGTTACAGGCTGGCAAGTGATCTGGTGATCCTATGGATGGAAGCCCTACAAAATGTCCTGTCCACTCAGCCCTTCCAAATTAAAGGCTGCAGCTTCCTTTATGGATGCAACCCATCTCGTATTTGGCCTTTCCTTTCCTCTTTTGCCTTGATCTTGTAAAGAACTTGAAGTAGTTACCACCCAGAGCTTCCTTATAATCAAACAAGAATTAATAAAGGTTATCAATTTGCTTGATTAGTACATTTCTATCCCCCCATTTCTCAACAAAAAGTCCAAGGCAGTGTACTCAGTTTGCTCCTCGTTTTACTCTCACAACAACCCTTATAGGTAGGCTAGGCTGACAGCAACTTACCCAAGGTCATCCAAAGAGCTTCAAAGCTGAATGGCAGTTTGACTCTCCAAATTTTACCCTAATGCTCTAATCCAGTCTACACAGTTTGGAGCCCTCCAAAGGCACTGGACTGCAGCATCCGTTGTCCCGTAAGAGGAGCCATGGCAGATCAGGGCAAGGGCCTGTCTAGCCCACTGGTTCACGCCCACAAGCAGGATATGAGTGCACCAGCACCCTCCTACCCATGTTCCCCAGTGACTGGACAACATAGGCCAGCTGCCTCTGATACTGGAGGTAGCACGTAACTATCAGGACTAGTAGCATGGATAGCCTTCCCCTTCATGGATTTGTCAAATCCCTCTCTAAGTGGTGGACATCCTTACCACTTGCAAAAGTGCATTCCATGGTGGGTGTTGTTGCTACAATTGCATTTATATTCTGCGTATTCTTCTGAGGAAGTCAAGGTGGCTTATGGAGCATCATTTTATCCTCACAACAACGGGCCTGTAAAGCAGGTGAGGCTGAGAGCATGTGCCTGGCCCAAAGACACCTGGTGAGTTTCACAGCCAAGGGGGGACTAGAACCTGGACGAGCAGTCCAGCATTCTGACCACCCCAGCAGCTCAGTCCTTTTCCCACCAATCAGCTTAATGAAAGAGGGTGAAAAATCTCTTCCTTTCCAAACCCTTTCCCCACTCCTCATACTTTTGGACGCGCCTATGCCATCTCCCCTTCCTTACCTTCTTTCTAAGCTAAACAATCCCAGATGTTATAACGCAGCCAGAATAGGGGCCACCAAGTTGAGGAAGACCACTGTAGTGTGTAAGAAATAGTAATTAGTGAAGGCAAAGAATTTAGGCAAAGCATGTCCACCCTGTATCAGTTTCTCATTTCAGTTCTGCCTCTGAAGCTATACCCTATACATGCTATGTACTCTGTAGTCGTCCCCAAGATTTGCTTGTAAAGGCATACCCTTAATCTTCTAAATAAAGTATATGAAGGTACAACCCTTTGCAGATTCATCCCAGCCCCATGCTTCCGGGAACCAGCTCTTCCCATCTCAATAGAAAAGGCAAAGTATGTGTAAAGACCATCCGGTTTCCTTCCCCCAGGCCCTGAACTACCTGGCTAGATGGAGACAGAATTCTTCCCATCTCAAAGCATAGTTAAGCTTTGCACACTGTGCCTCTGAATATTGCAGAAGTACCTTGCATGCACCTTATTGCATCGGGAGCTCCTTCACAGGAAGTGTTGCCAGTTCTCAAAGCAACTCCAGGGTTTGGGCTCACCACTCAGCAGCGGGTGCTTCTTTAGCCATCAAAAGCTCCACCTGTTGATTTCCACTGAGAATTTTCTCTTGTTAAAGCAATTTTTGGTTCAGGTTGTCTGTGCAGGAAGGCCCAGCTCTGCTTCCTATCCTTCCGGCAGTAATCCATGTCATCCTGTTTGATATGGACAAGCAAATCCAATGGGGCAGATCTCAGAAGTGCAATACACACTGGATGACAATGTGGGCACTTCGATGTACAAAAATTAAGACTAACCTGACTGGCAAGTGATAAAAAAACACAGGTTAGAATATATGTTTATAAAACTAGTCCTCTCCAGTTTCTGTTCTACAGCGTTACAATCATGTATGCAAGAGAATGAGCACACTCATTTCTAGATAGGATATGAAAGAAGTTCAGAGGCATTTTTAATGTTCGGCAAGAACACAAGGTGTACACTTGGGACCTTTTTAGAGCCATGGGCACATTTCAGGATTGGAGAAACTGCAGTGGGGACCACCAGAAAATTCCTAATTAGAGGACCACCTACCTGCTGCATCTTATTCTGCTAAAACTACTGGATGCAGCAATATCTCTTTAATAAGGGATTGTCTCATGGAGCCAAATCCTGGGGGTACAATACAGCTAATCTTTCTTTCAAACCTAAGTTGCAGCTTTGTCCCATGTTTGCATCCTTTGGAGAGGAGATTATTAAGCAGGTAAAATGTAGTGGATTGTCTTTCATCCTCAACAGTATACATGATCTTTTTAATTCTTAAGCTTCTTCATGAAAATTAGCAAATGGAAGAGGAAATGGACTCTCTTGCACTGTTTTGACAGCTAAAAACTGATTGCACAAAACTGGGAAGATTGATACCTTGTATAAAGCAAGATTTGAAAACCTTACAGCACTTTTGATGGCTGAACAGGTACCCCTAGATCCAACTTCGAATAGATATTTATTAGATATTCTTATATTTCGGCCCACTTTTATTGATTATTTATTAAGTCTATATCCCACTTTTTTCCATTCAAGGAACTCAAGGCAGCTTACATTCTCCTCCTCAAGCTTATCCTCACAACAACAACTGTGTGAGGTAGGTTGGGCTAAGAGTTAGTGACTGGCCCAAAGTCACCCAGTGAGTGCCATGGCTTTTGCATTTCATACAAATCCATGCAAATATATTAGCAAATAATAATGAATTTCTTTAAAGAAAAACGTTAGGGTGCCTGTGGATATCATAATGGGGATGATGGTGTTTGAGGCAGCATGTTGAAGAGCCCTGGCATACATTTATTTATTTGATTTATATCCCACCTTTGTTCTTACCAGAACTCAGAGCAGCTTACATAATTCTCCTCCTACATAAATTATAACTGCAGTTTTGAGCTGTTGCAAAGAAGCTTGAAGGAAACTGGATGTTCGTGTTAAACCTCTAGTTTTGATATATCAAAGCATCTTCTCATCTTCTGAGAAATAAGTCCCTGCAGGGTTTAATTCAGGAACAGGGCAATGTAATACCCATGGGCACTAAAGCACCCCAGGCCTCTTTCTCAGTGCCACCCCACTCACTTTTTTAAAAACACATTTTCTTACCAGCAGTTGGATTACCAGCAGTATAAGAGGGTTAATAGTGTAATTGGGAACAAATCCCTTTTTCAGCAACAAGGTGCATAGTTCAGTCTGAGCGCTGCATTTACAGCCCTCCTCCCACTGCGAGAGCAGCAAACAAGTGAGGAGGGGTCAGCAGCAGAGTTATTGTACTTACAATAGCATCTCCTTGAGAGAAATGGTCGATATCTGCTACTGCTTTGAAGGGCCAGCAGTTGGAGCAGCTCACACCAGGAAACATAAACAGGGATTAAAAACCCAAATCCTTCTTAGCAAACTTGCCACCTTCATCCTGGCTGATGGTAGTTGAAGGAATCCACACTGAGGAATTAATCCCGTTTGCTTATACAAAGCTAGCCCCATTGGTTTTATTTTCAGACCTTGGCTCTCCTGGGGGAATATCTTCCACTTAGACATGTCATGGTATGTATACAGAATCAGTCCCTTCTGCCCTTGGCAACTGAGCCATCAGATTAGCATAAGCTGCCCTATGCCCTCATCCTGACCCTTGGCAAGCATTTACACAGAATTGCCTTCTGGGTGCTTACCTTCCTTGGCAGTTCCTTACTTTTCTACCTCCGTTTGTTTCTACAGTGCCTGCCCTAGACAGGCAGCTGCATGAAACCAGCCCTGTAATTATCCAGGCATCCTTCAAATCCAGACAAAAGGCGAGACCA